CAGGAAAAGGTATCCCCTCTGCCCATGGCCCTGGCCTCCTGGCCCTGCTCTCACCGTGGAAGAAGTCCCGGAGCTCCCGAGTGTTAGACAGAGACTGAATTACACTGTTCATGAAGCAGGTGTTGCCTAGATTGACAAGACCAGTAAAGCCTGGCAGACACACCTTCTTCTCTTCCTCCTCCTCTTCCTCCACACTGTCTCCGCTCACGGGGCTGTGGGGCATTGGGGGTACCATACATGTGGGCTTGGGCTGTGGGAGCAAGGAAGGGCATGAGAGAGCAGCCCTGAGGCTCTCCAGCCTCTTATCTTGGCCCTCTCCTTCCCACTCCAGGATTCTCACTGAGGCCAGGTGTGGCTCTGGCTTTGGGGCTACATGCTCCATGGGGGTGCGGGCTGCCACACCATCCAGCCCCGGGTCCTCAGATCGAGCCTTGGGTTTCTCCTTCTCCACAGCCCGAGCTTCCTCCTGGCCTGTGAGGGGGTGGGGGGCACCTCCCGGTGGGGTTGAATCCAGAGGGGTTGGACCTGTCGGCACGGCAACCTTTGCACCACCCACTGCACCTTAAAAAGGGGGAATGAGGGGGCTGGTGGTTAGCAGCGTGTGGCAGGGGGTGGGGGTCCGGGTTATGTGGGCTGGACAATGAAGGGAGCTCGTGTGCAGACCTCGTGCAGCTGGGGCCTCCAGGCCCCCCCAGCGCTGACTTTGCCGCTTACGGAGGCAGATGTCAATGCGAGAGGCCGTGAAGCAGAAGGTGCACTGCTCGGGCTCAATCAGGTTCCTGTGGGGAAAGGCTGAACTCAGGGACTTAGGTGGAGTAGGTGTCGGGCTAGATGGGCCAGGGAGATGGAGCCCAGGGTGGGACAGGCATAGTACTGGGGCCGAGAACCACCCACCTGAGCTTCACCTGCCAACGGAAGATGGTATGGGGCCCACAGCCCGGGTGCAGTCTCAGGAAGTTTCCATCCCTGCCGAAGCAGAACAGGGACAGGGCAGGAGGAAGGGTGGGAAGAGCATGAGACACACTATCCTGCCTGAAGTGTACCCTCTGCCCCATGTCCTGCCCACCCACCCACCTGGTCTGGAAGATAAGTGTGAAGTCCTGCTCGCGGAAAAGCACTCGAGAGGTGTCCCTGCGGATTTCTTTCACGTACACGTGCACCACCACTGAATCTGGCCCCTTCTCATATGAGTCATTCTTGACAAATGCCAGGTTCACCATGGACTCCGGCTCTACGTTGAGACCACAGCTCAGCACCACCCAGGACAGGTTCTGGCCCACTGCTGTTCTATTCCCAATCCACCCACCAACCTTGCAACCCAACCTAGGGCTCTGCCTGCTCACCCCCAGCCCCACCTTTACCATCCACCAAGGTTATAGCATCTGCTGCCACCGCCATCTCCTCTTTGGAACGGTCACCTTTCTCAGGGTCTCTGCTCCCGGCCATGGCTGGGGAGACTGGATCATTCCTGGGGGACACAGTCTTCTCTCCTGCCAAGAGTGCTAGATTCTCTTCTGAGCCCAAGAGGCAGGTCTGGGGGTTCAGCGGTGGTACCCGGAGCTGTTCCTCAGCTTCGGCCTATTTGTGGCAAGATTATGGGCAGGATCAGCTGTAGGTCTGGCAGGTGGCCCCCCCCCCACTGCAGTCCATTTCCCAACCCTCCCATCTCCCACAGGTATCCCACTCTCACCTGGGTGGCTGTCTCAGCCAAGAAAGGGGGGGCATCACCCCGGGGTCCAGGCCCATCTCTGGACCCTTCCCCCTCTGGCCCTCTGCGGAGATGCACAGCCCTCTTGGCGCTGGGCCCCACCTGGGCCCCAGGGCCAGCCCCTGCGCCTACCTCACCACGGCCCTGGGCCCGCTTCTGGTTCCGGGCCTCCTGTTTAGCCCGACGGGGCTCAGGGCCTGGCTCCAGGGCAATGGGAGATGGCTCCTGCCCATTCTCCTGGCACCGCAGCCCTGGCACCGCCTCCTGGGTCCCTAGAGGTTTCTTCTACCAAAGATAACAGCAGTCAGGCCCTGTCAACCACACTGGGTATCCCTACCCTACTCTGCTGTGGAACTTACCAGAAGAGAGGGCCACGTGAGCAGAGGCACCTTCTTGGGCAGTGCCAGCTGCAGGAGGCCACCTTTACGGGCTTGTACTTTGGTGCAAGAACTTTCTATCTCAGCATAGAAAACACCACCCCACTGCCGACCACCTGGAGACAGAGGAGGGGCAGTGAGCTGGGGTGGGGAATATGAGAGGCTTCGAATACCCTCTGGGCTCAGGGCAGATGGACGCACCTGGAAGCCGCACCACGCAATCTGTGTCTGTGAAAGCAGCATCCACTTCCTCCAGCCGCAGGGGACCCCCTCCCACACGCAGCTTGACAATCACCTCATCTGCACTCTGCCTCCAATCAAGCAACAACTCTGTAGGAGGAGTACAAGTGAGAGTATGAGGGTGTCCATAAACTCCTGATGGGGATAAACAGGTGCCAGAGACCTAGCCTAACGGAACTGCTCCAGATGAAGGCTATAGCCCCAGTGCTCCCTCCTCGCCCCTAGCACTCTAGCACCCAAAAGGCCTACTCATTACTCACCCTCTTTGGCCTGCTCCTCCCGAGAGGACGCTGACCCTGACAACAAAGAACCGGGAAATGATGATGGGGAGGCAGCCTCCAAGACCCCACCACCCCAACAAGCACCAACTTTAGGATCTCAGCCAGGCACACAGACCTTAAAGCTGAGGCTCTACCCAGCCTGCTGTGAGTCCTTCTCTCAGTATCAGACCAAAACAGAAGGAAGAGCAAAAATGTCATCTCTCAGCCCTTAATCTGTATGCTCAACAGGGTGGAGGAGGAGACCACAAGCACTCTGGGAATGCCACAATCACCTCTCCTAGGATCGCCATCCTTGCTCTCCTGGTTTGCTCGATCCTTCTGCTTCTTCTTACTGGTGGCCTCCTCCAATCCTGGGGGACCTCTCCTTGGGCCCGAGGCGCTGGCCCCGCCAGACATCTTGAGCCGCTTGGTCGACAGCCACAGTGCCCCGGGGTCGGCAACGGCGTCTGGGTCAGGGCTACGGCGCTTTCTTCCTGGCCCAGCTATCTTGGCAACTCTTTGTGGCCAAATTCTCCAACAAGGAACCAACAGCCTAATGAGAAGGGACCAGTGATTACTACCAAGGCCCAACAATTTGCTCCTTGGTTACAGCCAGGGCTCAGCAACGCAGGATACAGCCAAGCCTACAGAGCAGTAACTCTCCACCACCTAATGTAGCCCTGGACACTCTCAGACTATTCTGAAGGGGGAATAAACAATACAAGTAGCAACAACAACTTCAGGCAGAGACTCCTAGATGCCTGCCCTGCAGACCCACAAAGATGGGAGCCTCACTGAGGAGGCGCCAGGTGAAGGCAGCCATAGCCTGGAACCAGGATCCTCAACCGATCTGGAGAGGAGCCATGGCTCCAGCCCACAGGGCTGGCCCTCTGAGCAGGGTGCTCACTTTTCCTCACTCTCACTGGCTGCTTAGTCACCACCCGAGAAGTAGGAGGTGGTGGAGGAGGAAGGCAGAAAGGAGAAGACAAGCAGCAAGGGGACCGACCAGGTTCCGTGGCTGAAGACAGGCTCGGCCCAGGTGCTGCCACTGCCCAGGCACGGTTCTGGCGTTAAGGTGCTCCACCTGCCACCTGCCAGCTCCCACCCTCCTCTGAACCTGTTCCTATGCACTGCCTGGTTTTTCTTCCTACATCCCAGGAGAGATTTTTCTCTCCAACTGCTGTCCCAAGCAGAGAGGGGCCTGCAAAAGCTGGGGTGAAAAGGATATCTGGCTGTCACACTACCCTTTCAGCAGCAACCCTGCCCCAGAGCCAAAGCAGGACAGGCATCCAGTTTGAGAATGAAACAGACATCATCCCCTTGTTCCCAGGTCCACTCACTCATCAGCACTGGGCTAGAAACCTTCTACCCAGTTTCCCGTAGACCCCCCCCCCAGTAGCTTCTGGACTGTTTTTCCATCCAAAATAAAGTTCTCAAAATTGATTTAACGGTGGGGATGAACCATGAACCCAGGACCGGTGGCGGCCTCAGCCTGGCCTGAGATGGTAGCAGAGCAAACAGTGACTACTTTGTGTTCCCCAAGGTGTATGTATGGCGGCGGACAGAGAGGGACGTTCTTCTATGCGGGACTAGTAGGCTGGATCTTTAATGACGACGGATCCAGAGCCGAGGAGTGGACACCCTCCACCTCCTTGCACCAGGCCCCAGCTTAAGGTCGCGTCCCTCCCCATTCTCCCGGGGACACCGAGACAAGAAAGGGGCTGTCTAGAGACCACGCCGGCCTATTCTGCTGCGGGGGTTACTGACTACAGACCAGCGCCCCGGCCGGGCTACGACTCAGCTCCAGCCTCCAAACCCTGGGCCCGCCACCACCTCCTCCAGGAAGGCGCCCTCGCTCGCCGCCAGCCCTCTCTGAGGCAGGAGGCCAAACCCGGGCGTAGAGTAACGGCCCCGCCTGCATCGGTGGGCCCGGCACGCCTCTGGGCTCGAGGGTTCGAGACTGGCACGGCCCGTGACCTTGAACAGGCAGCCCGGGGCCCGCGTCGCGGCCTCCCTGGCTCCAGCCAGACAGGCCAGTTGCAGCCCGTCCCACTCACCGAGCGAGGCCGCCGCCGCCAGCCCTCTTAGGGCCCTGGCAACCCGCTCTCGGTTCCGGTTCCGGCGCCTGGTCGGTTCCGGTTCCGGCGCGCCCCTCCCCCGTCCCGTCGCCGCCGCCGCCGCCTCAGCCGCTTGTTTTGTTTCGACTTCTAGTTACGGCCGCGGGTGGCTGAGCGCTTAGCTGGTGACGCACTTCCGGTGGGAGCGGGCACGCGGCGGCGGGTAGCTCCGGGGCGGGTCCGAACGGAGGAGGCGGGGCTCCGGTGCCTTGGCCTTGCCCTGGCCCCCCGCTGGTGGCATCCTGGGGTTCCGCCCAGAGACCCCGCCCTCTCCAAATCACAGTCCAGACGACACACTGGGATTCACAGCGGTTTATTGGGGGCCTGGTCAGGCTAGGAACTTTTCCATGCAGAGGCAGTAACGGGGGCGGGGCGGGGCTGGGGACTGGGGTAGGAATCCCGCAGGGGTCACTGGCAGGTGTTGTAGATCTGAACCTGCAAGTTGATGGCTTGAAGCACACTACGCATCCTGGCCTCCAGTCCATCCAGCTGGGCTGCTTTGCCTTCCAGTGCCCGCTCGTTCTCCTCATAGGTGCCCTCCAGCTCTAGGAGGGGCAGGTCTCAGCTGTAGGGTCCTTCTCCCACAAGCCCCACACCTCTGGCGTTCCACCCACCCCAGTCCTCACCTTGCAGCCGTTGCAGCTTGTCCTGAGCAGCCTGCAACAAGCCTCGAGCCTCATCCCGAAGTTGCTCTGCCCGCACCTGTGCAGCCAGCACCCCCTGGGCCTTGCGCTCAGCCAAGGCCTTCACTGTCTGGTACTGGTCGCCTAGTGGGCCCTGCAGCAGCTGCAGATATAGAGGGCAAAGTCAGCGTGGTGGCCCAGTCGACCCCAGCTTCTACCCCAACCCCCACAGCTGGCTCTGCCTCAACCCACCTGCTCAGCTTCCCGGGCACGACCCTGGGCACTGCCTGCTGTTTCTTCAGCACTAGAGGCTGCCAGGCTATTCCCTGCTCGTTTCAATTTCAGAGCCTCCAGGAGACCATCCAATTGCTGAGCCCGCTCCCCTGCAGAGCTCAGTGCCTGCTCCGCACCTGCCATCTTCTCCTGCACCTGTTACGGGGGGACCCAGGGTTAAACAGGTCCATGCGTGCGTGCCCATAATCTTGCCCCACTGATGTCCCAGAGAGACCACACCTGGTGCAGGGTCCGCTCCGTGTCCTGTGTGTCGACTACTGCCCCCTGGATGGCACCCTGAGCAGCACCCTGGGCCCTCTGGGCTTCCTCCAGTGCTGCCTGTACTGTTTCTGCCTTCTGTTTCTCACCCTCAGCCCGGCTCCTGAGGAAGAGAGGGAATCAGGGCCTGTAAGTATCAGGAGCAGGTGTCAAGGATAGGGGCCAGGATCATGATCAGACCTTGCCCGCCGTGCATCTTGTAGTAGCTGCTCTGCCCGACGCACATCTCCCACGGTACGCGCCAGGATTGTGTCCACATCTGCCAGGCTCCGGACCCTCTCTGCAATCTCGCCTGCCAGGTGCTGAATCTGCTCAGGTGATGCTGGGATGGAGAGCTCTAGCACTCGTGTGGCCACCATCTCAATGCTATCGGGATCAGCCCCCTCCTCTATGGGGACACAGGCAAGGGCTTAGGGACACAGATTCTCCAGCAGGGACGTCAAACACAATCTTGGGGTGTGGGACCACACATGGAATATGGGTTTGTTAATAGGCATAGTGATGTAACTACAAGGACAGGAAATATAAGTGAGCACACACTCGGGGTCACGGACTCCGGGACCACATATAGGCAAGGGTTGAGGGATTAGACACGGAGTCATAAACACAGGCCCAGTGCCGGCCCGAGTATGAACCCAGGGACACAAGTATGAACGCAGACACAGGTAAAACAACCACGTGGCCTGGGCCACACGGGAGGCTCACGGCTGAGGAAGTCCTTCACATTCTGGATAAGTTCCCGAAGCTCTTGGTTGGCCTTCTCCACCTGTCCCCTGGAAGCATTAGCCTTGTCCAGGGCTGCCTGGGCCCGCTGTTGTGCCTCGCCTGCCTGCCGACGGGTCTCAGCCACCTGGCTGAGGATGCCGCCACCTTCTGCCAGAGCCCGCTGCAACTCTGCCTGTGTGTGCCGGGCCCGACCCAGTGCCAGGTCCGCCATGGCTACTGCCCCGTTGCAGCCGAGGCCCCCGCAGCGGGGTTGCCCATCCTCGTCCAGACAGCCAGCACCCCCGCAAGGGCTTGTAGCACAGGGTGCATCCCCCGGGGGTCCACACACCTGCCAGGCACAGAACAAGTCAGGGCCCTGTGGAAGGAACAGCCACAGCCACATGTCCCACCCCACACTGTGCCTTACCAGTTCATTTATGGCTGTCAGGCTCAGGGAATGGGCATGGGCAGAGAGCTCGCCTAGTGCCCGCTGGTTGGCCATGTGTTTGCGGTTGAAGTCCTCCTTCTGGGCACCCATCAGCACCTCCGTCCGGTGCCGAGTATCTGCTGAGCTGCTCACAGGGCTGGGCACCGTCAAGGCCGATGTGTTGGCACGATGTTCTGCCTCTGCAGACAGACTGTGGGCATGGCGGATGCTATCATAGGCACCTACATTGGGCAGAGGCTGGCAGTCAGCTAAAGATCACCTAACCCGGGGTGCCTGGATTAAGCGTCCGACTCTTGATTTTGGCTCAGTCATGATCTCAGGGTCATGAGATCAAGCCCTGCGTTGGGCTCTGCGCTGGGTGTGGAACCCGCTTAAGATTCTCTCTCTCTCCCTCTCCCTCTGCCCCTCCCTGCTCGCTCTCTCTCTTAAAAAAAAAAAAAAGAAAAAGAAAAAAGGGGCGCCTGGGTGGCTCAGTCGGTTGGGCGTCTGCCTTTGGCTCAGTTCATGATTCTGGAGTCCTGGGATCGAGCCCCGCATCGGGCTCCCTGCTCGGTGGGGAGCCTGCTTCTCTCTCTCCCTCTGCTGCTCCCCCTGCTTGTACTCTCTCTCTCTTTCTCGAATAAATAAAATTAAAAAAAAAAAAATCACCCAACCCTGGTCCACCTGCCTCCCTGGCCAACAGCTCACCCAGGAAGTTTGAATGCTTGAGCAGGTCCAGATGCTGATCCAGCTGCCGCAGTGTGAGATTAAGTGCAAGCCCATCTCGCTCCAGATTGCTCAGTGCATGGTTGGCATTGAAGTTCTCATCCTGCACATCCGTCAGTTTTGCCTCCAGCTGGGTCAGGTGCTCAGTGGCCTCTCCAATTTCACGCCTGTGCCGGTAGGGGGTGGTGTTTAGAGAAGCTTCAGCCCTGGTCCACTGGGTCTCTGCCCCATCCCTCCATGTATCCTCAGGCCCATCCGCACCGCAGATCCTCTGTGGCCTCCACGAGCTGTGCAGTGGAGGCAGCTGAGGTGTTGCGGGCACCCACAATCCCCTGCACAGTTCCCAGCTTCTCCTGTATGTGCCAGAAGCTGCTCTCAAAGGCACCCAGTACACCCGTCTGCTGCAGCTCCTGCGCCCGCTGCTCCAGGCGCCGTGTACGGGCAACCAAGTCCTGTACCACGCGGTCCCAGTCCCCGAAGCATGCGTGGCATGGCTGGCAAGCAGGAAAGACCCCTGAGAAGCCACGGGCACACTGGTCACAGCGCACGCCAGACACGCCTGGGCGGCAGCTGCAGTGCCCCGTGGAGCGGTGACACTGAGGTGTGTCTATTCCACGAGGGTCACAATCACAGGCTGCAGGAGAGGGCAGACCACAGAATTAGGGTGCCAGTGGGGCATCCTGGGAAGCCCCCCAGCCACCCCGGCCCTGCTGGCTCTCTCACCGCGACACTGCAACCCAGGGTCCCCCCAGTGGAGCTCCTGGCACTCAGAACAGGTTCGCCCACCAAAGCCAGCACGGCAGTGGCACTGCCCCGTGAACTAGAGTGGGAACAGGGCAGAGGTCAGCGCCTCAATCCGAGGCTAAGCTCTTGAGACTCGAGACAGACAGCTGGCCCCATCCACCCAGGGATCCACAGGAGGGTCCTGTACCTCATTGCAGGTGGGGCCTCTGGCTCGGCTTGGGTGGCAAGCACAGGGCTGGCAGCCATGGCCACTGGTAAGGTTCCAGAAGTTGGGGGCACAGCGGTCACAGCTAGGGCCCTGGACATTGGGGAGGCATGGGCACTGCCCACTGCTTGGGTCACAGTTGCAGCGGTCAGTAGACGGGCACTGCTGGGGATCTGTACCCAGCAAGTTGCAGGTGCAGCCTGGGCCAGTCAAGCACATTAATCAAGGGGAGCCCGAGCAGCAGAGCCCGACCCCCGCCACCCCCTCCCAATCCCACACTCACGGTGACAGCTCTGTCGGACAGCCTGTCCATGGAAGCCAGGCTTGCAGTGGGCACAGTGCGGCCCCTCCGTGTGGTGTAAGCAGCGCAGGCACTGCCCCGTGCGGGGGTCACAGGCATCAGGGTCCGTGGGGTCAATGTTCCCACTGCACTCACATGGTTGGCACTGGCCACCTGGCCTTGACGGGTCCCCAAAGTACCCAGGGGCACAAGCATCGCACCGCAGCCCTGCCCACATTTGGGGAAGGCATGAGTGAGTGTTCAATTCATCTGCCCCACCCTGATCCCATGCCTGCACCTTATCTATCTACTCACCTGTGTAGCCTGCCCTACAGTGGCACATGATCTGCTGGGAGTACCCATCCCGATGGCAAGAAGTAGCAAAGTGCCGCCGGCTCCCAGGGCCTTCAGGGCAGGGACAGGGCCGGCACTGGTCCCCATATGGGAGCCGTGGGTCCCCGTGGAAGCCAGCAACGCACCTTCGAAGAGCAACAGGAGGAGAGATGTGGTCCCAGAGCAGCCTTCCCACCCACCCACCCTCTCCTAGCTGCTCCAGGCTCACCTTTCACAGTGCTCACCCCCTGTGTGATCGCGGCAGCCCAGGCAAGCTCCCGTCCGGGCATCACACTCGTCTGCATGCCCGTTGCAGACGCATGGCCGGCAGCTAGGGAATCCCCACTGGCCCCGCTGGCAGCCATCACAGCGAAGCCCAAAGGCACCAGTTCGGCAGGGGCATTGCCCGCTGGTCCCTTCGCACAGGCCACTGAGCGCCCCCTCGGGGCTGCACTGGCAGGCTGGGGGCAAGGCAGAGGCTGAGCCAGGGAAGGGGTTTGAGGGAATCTAGGTGGGGTCAGGGCAGGAAAGTCAGGGAATCAAAGAGAACTTCCAGTGTCCCAGTGCTGGGAGTATGGGCTCTAACGCAGAGTCAGAGAAAGGAAGAAGCACAGTTGGAGGGAGGATGGGGGACGGTCGTGGGGAGGAGACAGAATAAGAGGGAAGAAAGGCAGGCAGGTACCTTGACAGCCTGTGGGGCCAAAGCCGTAGAAGCCAGGGGCACAGAGATCACAGCGGCGCCCCACCACCGCAGGTTTACAAAGGCACTGGCCGCCGTGGGGATTGCACTCAGAACTCAGTGAGCCCTGGGGGTCACACTGACAGGCTGTGGGGCAGCGGGAGAGGGCCAAGTCAGACTGGGGCCCCACACCTCTGCCCCACCAGCCCACAGCACAGACACTCACGCAAGGCACCGTTGTAGAGCAGGGCGGACAGGCTGATGAGGAGAGGGGCACAGGCCTCCGAGGGAGGGGTCTTGCTGGGCACCAGCCCCTCCTCGTGGCAGCGGTAGCGTTCAAAGGTGGCACGGCGCTCCAGAGCAGTAGCATCCCCCCCACTAAACATCTCCAGCACCAGGACACGGGGTAGCAGCACCAGCTGAAGCGATGAGCAAGGAAGAGTGAGGCCCAGACCCAGGACGCTATTGGCACGGCGAGCACTGAGCACCACCACGGGCCTGCCTCTTCTGTCACAGGCCCCTCCTGTCCGGCCCCCGCTACAGGTCCCATCCCACAGACCCTGCCTTCTTGGTCAGTGTGGGGAGAGGGGCTATTCACCGAGTCAATGAGCAGGCTGGGTGCAGAGTAGGGAGCCTCGGTCTGAGCGCTTCCCCCTGTTCGCACCAGCTTCAGATGCAGTTTGTAGGAGATGCCAGGCTCAAGGCAGACAGGTCTGGGAAACACCATATACCTGGCGGGGTGGGGGGAGTAAAAACAGGTATGGGGTTCACCCAGGGTCCCTGTACCCACCATCCTAGGCCTCCCCACCCCGCACACCAGCAACCAAATCACTGGCCAGGAAAGAGACTAGGTTGGGCTGGGTCATGCCAACATACAGCTGGACAGCCTGACAGAGAATTTATACAGGAGATTCCCACAAACATGCCTCACTGGAATCCCATACCTGTGCAGACCAATCTCTGAAAACACTCCCTACAACCTTGCAACCGCACATCATTTCCCTGGCACAAATACTGGCCAATTTTTCTTTAATGGCCTCCTCACGCTTCCTCCAACCTTGACCTCTAACCTCTGCTCTTCTTCACCAAGACTACATCATCCCCCCTCTGCCACCTGGCCCTGCCTTTCCTAGGTTATTCTCATCAGCCTGCAAACCCATGCTAGGGTTCTTTTATCTCCCTTGGAAACATCTTCCCTCAGTCCCTGAGTCTCCCTTTCCCTTAGCTGTTACCTTGTCTTTGCTTTCCTGCCCAACAAATTCCTAAAACCGGACTGTGGTCACTGCCTCCACTCTTGCCTCCCACGCCAATGGAGTTTTTATGCCAACATGCATGGGGACAGCCTGTACCAAGCTCACCATCGACCTCCACATGGCCAAACCCAGCAGCCTCCTCTCTGTTCCTGTCTGTTCCAGCATTCAGCGGCATGCAATGAAAGCAGTGCACCCTTCTTCCTGAGACACTCTTCTCTCTCCTTCTGGAACCGTGTCCACACTGCTGATTTTCCCCCACCCCCAAATCCTCCTTCTCTACTGGCCTCAAACACCCCAAAGCTTGGTTCTGGCCCTCTTTCCTTTCTCTGGTCATTTCATTTAGACCTAACCCTTTAGTGACAAGTCCCAAATTTATATCTACAGATTGAGGCCTTCCAGTATTTCCAGACACAGAAATCCAACCACCCACTGGCCTTCTCCTCCATGCCTAAGTACCTCGGAACTGCTTCTCCCTATGTCTCTACCTCAGTAAAGAGCCCAATCCTCACCCAGATGAACAAGCCCAAAACACTAGAGTCATCTTCCTGCTTTCTCTCTTTCCTACATATCTAAGCCATCAGCTCTGCCGCTGGAACTCTCTGGAACCTTCATCATCTTGTCACATCAACCGCTAAACCTCTGTCCAATCCACTGTCACTCAGCTAACTCAAAAGCCTCCACCTTCAAGTCTATTTTCCACTCCTCAAGTAGAGGGATCTTTGCTAAAAGCAAATCGCAGTTGGTAAAATGTCTATGATGGGTACAGCCCATCATTATACATTGCTCGCTCCACTTCCGTGTATTGTTTGAATACTTAAATAATAAAACGTTAAAAAAGAAGGTGATGAAAAAAGATACATGAAGCAAATACTACCCAAAATGTAAGAAAACAATTATCAGACCAGTCACATCCTGCTCAGAATGCACTGATGCCTTCCCTTTCCCCGGTAGGCATTCCCTATAGTGACACTGAATGGCTTCCCATTAAATCTTGCCACAGGCCTCGGAACTCAGACCCCTAAAAGAGCAGGACATTTTCTACTTCCTTCTTCTGACCTGTGCCATGCCTAAGAGCACCCAGCAAACAGCACTCAGGAGGAGGCACTTGAAGCAAGGGACAGATGAATGAGCAGCGGCATCTTCCAAGTGCCCTTCAGGGAATTAGGGCTGGCCCACAACCCCCCCCCCATTACAGATGCTACCATTGGTACCCTCACCTGGTTTCTGGTTGCAGAGTCCCTGGGATGTGGTCATCCTTGGGCAGCACATGCCCACACAGGCTGTGGACAGACACAGGCCCTGGGCGCTGCACAGTCACTTCCATCTCTGCCCACTGTTCAGGGACCTGGGGGGATGGGATAATGAAGGAAACGCTACCACACCCGGAGGTTCAGCTCTGGGTCAGGTTCCACAGGGTCTGACCTGGGGCTCCAAGCGCAGCAGCAGGTCGTAGTCCATGGCTCTCGGCACAGAGGCCACCAGGAACTCCAGTGTCTGACCCTCCTGCAGCCTACCAAAGCCCCGGCCTGTCCAGGATGGAGTCCCACCAGGGGTCCCCAAGCGCTCCACCACATCGAGCACCTGGGAGGGATACAGCTCAGGGTGGGTGCCCAGGTAAGACACCATCTCTTCTGCCACAGCCTGTCCTCACACCCCAGCTCTTCAGCTGAGGCCCTGTCCAAGGCCGGACACCCTCCCCAGACAAGTACCACCCACAACTCCACCTCTCCAACCCAAGCCCTGCCCTCCAACGTTGGCCCCTACCTGTCCTCGGGTGTCCTCAGCCTCCCAAGTTAGGTGGTCAAGGAAGGGTCGGAAGTAGCCAGGCTGCACCTGCTCACAGCGTCGCCCCACCATGTGCTGGCGACAGCGGCACTGGCCTGTGGCCTCATTGCACCTGGGAAGCCCACAGGTACTCAAGAAGGGCCCCCTATCCTGCCCAGGATCTTTTCCCACCCCTCCTGGGACCCCTGATACAGCACTCACTGGGGATCCAAGGCACCACCCACGTCGCAATCACACGGACGGCAGCCAAGCAGGTCATGGCTCAGGCCCCAGTGACCAGGCTAGGGGAGAGGAGGTTGCTGGGGGCTAGAAACAGACCCCCTCGCCACCCATCCGGGAATCCAGTGACAGCTCTCAGCCTCTACCACCCCTTGGTGAAAACACGGTCCCTAGACCATGGCTCCCACCCTTCACCTCCCAGACCTGAGGCCTCTCAGCCAGGAATGGACCCTAAGCTCTCTGCACCCACCCAGTGGGGCATAGACACCACCCCCCAGCCCTGTGCTCTGAGGATAAGTGCAGGACCCCAGACCCCCAAGCCCCTCCAGTCGCACCAGGCAGCGGTTACAGCCACGTCCAGTCACTAGACGCTTGCAGAAACAGGTTCCACTGTTGGGGTCACAGGAGGTGACCCCAGGCACTGTGCCCCGTGCATCACACTGACACCCTGCAGGGAAGGAGATCCATCACACTCTGGGGAGCTGTGGCAGTGCTGGTGTTGAGTTGGGCCAAGAGTAAGAAGTAAAGGGTTAAGGTCAGTACAGGAGCTAGGGCAGGAAGCACATACGCCGGCAGCCTGCAGGGTCGCTGGCACTGAGCCCGAAGAAGCCATCACGGCATCGCTGACAGCGAGAGCCCACCACATGTTCTTTGCAGCGACACTGGCCCGAAACCAGCCCCAGAGCAGGATCATCATGGGGATCGCAGCGACCACCGTCTTGGGAACCCATGGGGTCACAATCACAGGCTGAGGGCAAAAAGAGATGAAGGGTCACCCTATCCCAACTAGCCCAGCACCACGCATCTCCCTAGCCTCCCCGACACTGGATTCCCAGCCTAGCTCCACTCTATGCCCCCCACCCCCACCCCAAACCCCTGCAACCTGGACAGCAGCCTGGCCTCCTAGTTCCTATCCCAGACTCAGCCTTCCCTCTCCCATGCCCAACCCCAGCCTCACAGCGGCACACAGCTGGGTCCCGGAGGTCCTTGCTTGGGTCACGGTAGAAGAAGGGTCGGCAGAGTTCACAGTGGCGCCCAGCTGTATTGTGCTGACATCCATCACACACACCTCCACTCACGTTGCCAGACGCCAGGTATACAGCCATGTCAAAGTGGCAGTTGTGGGTGTGCCCATGGCACTCGCACTCTTGGGGGAGGGGAAGGCAGGACAAAGGCCCCATTGAGGGACCACGTCCTGAGGATAAGGGGTGTAGGGGCCCCAGTGACACCGCAGGTCCCTGACACAGGCCAGAATTTGTGGGTGGGGGCTCAGGTACTTTAAGGTTTCAGCATCATACTGGGCCCCTGACCAGAGAAGACTTGGAAGAGGGTTAAGGGAGACCCTAGGGGCATCAAGGCCTGGACACCGTTCGGACATAGCCTGGGTGTTAGGCGCTTGACCAACCAGCTCTAAGTTCTACCCATGGCACAGCCAGGCCACAGTGTTCTGGGGCTACGGGGACCAGACCTCACTCACTCCTGCAGGCATGACTGTGGCCATCCTCAGCTGGACGCCAGGGCAAGTCATGATAGAAATCCTGACATTGCTCACAGTTGAGGCCACGAGTGTTGTGTTTGCAGATGCAGGCCCCATGAACCTAGGAGGCGGGGAAGCAAGTGGTCAGCACTGTCCAGCCAGGCCTGTCCCTGCCCCCAGCCCTGTCCCTACCCCCAGCCCTATTCCAGCCAGCTGAAGTCCCTCACCATGCCCTCAGCATGGGTTGGTGCTCCTGGGGCGGGTGCACACTGCGAGGCGTGTCCGTAACAGAAGCAGTTGCCACGCACAACCAGCTCGTAGAGGGCATAATAGTATTTCTCACGTATCTCCCGCCGTGGGTCGAGCAGATTGTCCCCCAGCGTATGCAGGCGTGTCAGGTTCACCCGTAGGTTGGTGATCTTCAGCAGGTCTAAGTCGGGGGAAAGGATTGGGAGCCAGCTGGCCAGGCAGGCTCTTGTTGCCCCATGCCCACTCAGGGGCTGCAGCTGCCAAGGTCACCTTGGGAGACCTTCTGTCTACTGCTATATGAGCTAAATTGGACTTGGCACCTGCCCCAAGAAGCACCCAAAATAGCTACTGAGGCCCCAAAGAGTCACCAGCCAGATGCTGGGACTGTGCCAGGCTCAAAGAGAGGAACACTCACTCTGGATCCGTGGGCTATAGGGGTCTGGGATAGGGATGGCAGGATCCAGCACACGATAGATGACCTGGAGGGACGTGGAGCCATCAGAGACACTGGACCCTGCCCCAGGCCCATCATCCCCCTCTTCCTGCCCCACGTCAGATCCCAGCTCTCACCTCGCCTTCAGTGGATGGCTCAATCTCTGAGTAGCGGGACTCACAGACTATGTCATCCCAGTGCCGTGGGGGGGGCGAGTGGGACTCCTGGAAAGTCAGCCCCACAGTCATAGGAAAAATATCGGTACACATGCCAGGTGCGTCCGAAGTCAGCTGAGCGCTCCACCAGCATGGCAGCAGGACGAAATGTCTGGGTGGGGGGCATGGCTAATCAGTGAATATCAGGACTCAAGTCTAGCCCAGGCCCATCAAGAGAGCCCTGCCCAGCTGGGGCTTGCCCCAAAGCAGCTCATGGACAGGTGGGGCTGACCACTGGAAGCCAAGCAATAGTCAGGGAGGGTAGCCACTTCTAGGGGGAAGGCTCAGGGGTCATGGGGCCCAGGGAGGCAGCACCTAATCCAGCCTCACGTTGGGGCAGCATGGGCAAAGGCCTGGAGGCAGAAGGCAACAGAAGGTGTGGGAGACGAAGGAGCCTCCCATGCAGCCAGACAGAACACAGCATATGAGCTCAGCAAGACTGGGCTAAGGAGCTGTTCAGGGGCAATGGAGAGCCAAGCAGGGTGATTCAAGCAGGCTCCCAGACATGCGGGCACCTTGAAGGTCATAATGAGGTGCGTGAAATGAAACTCAGCCTCCAAGTCCAGCTGGATGGTGACCACGGGGACACCTGGGGCAGGAGTCGGAGGTCAGGGACTTGAGACTACTGGTAGGCAACCCTGCTCACCCCATGCCCCACCCACGGCCTCACCATTCTCTGACTGCCACCAGGCTGCCCGGCGCTGTGGTGCAAAGCTGGTAACTACATTCTGGATGCGATGGCTGTTTGGGTTGTCTCTAGCAGAGAAGGGGCGCCGGGAGTCACACAGGAAGCACTTCTTCTCATCCTGGGTTGGGTCAGAGTCAAGGTCAGGGTCAGTGTCTCAGGCAGTGGCAGCACCCCCTACCCCCCAACACCCCCATCCCACGAAGGCGCACCTGCAGGTGACTAACGATGCAGTAGGGCTGGGGGCCATGCAAACCACAGGTGGATGAGGCAGTCAGTCTGTCAGCACGGCCGACTAGCAGGTCACCTGTAGCAGGGTAGCAGCTTCCCCTCGAACAGCCTGGCACATCCGGGGCCAGGGCCTGGGCCAGGGTGGTGGCCAGCACTGGGAACAGTGGGTCAGCCAGTTCTGCTGAGCTCCCACCCAGTAGCCCCAGGTTTGGCTCCCCCAGGACCTACCATCACATCCCACAAACCCCAGGCCTTCACCAGGCCCTCTCACCACTCAGCAGTAGGCCCAGTCGAAGCTCCCAGGGCCCAGGCTGTCCCCGTAGGTTCCTCCCTCGGTCCCCTGAGGCCCGCTCCATCCTGAAGAGGAGGGGAATCCAGATGAGGGGTGATAACAGGTCCAGAGCCTGTGCCCACCTTCCCCCTCCCTTGGGGTCCCGTGCAGACCCTGCCCGCGTAAGTCCGCGGCTGATTTCCCACTCAATCCTCCAGCCGGCGGCCCCTCCACTAGCTGAGTCCTGCGACTTTGAGCAAAGTTGAGAAGCACGGCAAGAAGGAAAGCATGGAGCGGATTTTGGGCAGGAGTACATTTCCACACAGAGGTTCCCCTCCCACCTCTCCAGAAACCACCCTCATTCTAGAAACCAGACACAGGCCAGCTCACCTGCAAATCTTTACTGAGCTCCCTTGCCCAGACCCCTGCGGAGCAAGGGGAAGGGGGGTTGTCTTTAAGCCACCACAGTTAGGGGGCGCACCAAGGAGGGGGTGTGGCATGAGCAAAGGAAAGGAGTCTGATTTGAGACTTCAAATGGCCCACGGAACACAGCCTTTGTCCCTAGCATTGTAGGCGCTGTGGAAGTCACCATCAGTGAGGCTGTTCAGTCCCAGGGCTCCAGCGTCAGCGGGGAGGTGAGAGGGCACACAAAGAGACATCGAGCTCCTCTATTTAGGGAGGTGGGAGACTTTAGGTTGGCCTGGCCCAAGCGACAGGACAAGAAGGGGGTAGGAGGAAAGGTGGAGAAAGGTCATCCTCTGCGCAAGTCACGGCTCCAGGGCTCTCCACCTCCCTTAGTCACTACAACAAGTAGGCACAAGAAGTGCTTTCTCAGTTTTCCAGTATGAAAATGGGAGCTGGGCAGTCGACAGAGGCAGTGAGTGAATCCAGATCTTATGGCCATCCATCCGCTCCAGACCTTCTGGCCCGCCGGGAGGCCTGAGCCCGGGCTTGGAATGCGAGCTGCTAGCAAGTGCCCCACCCTGGCCCCTGGGACCACAGGCGGGACCACGGGACTCCGCAGGTCTGTAGGGCCAGGGCCTGGTGGCTCTGAGCTGCCACAACTTTGCCCACTCTGTCTGGGGCCAGGTGGAGAGTACCCAGAGCTGTGGGACCGCGGGAGAAAGCTGGGGGTTCTTCCCGGGGGCTGGGAATCACCAGGCTTCTCAAGAAGAGTCTGAGCAGGGGAGCAGTCAATCTACTGGACCTTCAGGGTCTCTGGGAGTTATTCCAGTTATCTGGAGTAGGGGTCTCCAGTTACCCGGGGCTCCTGTAGTCAACCTGAGGGGCAGAGGTGACTCAGAATTTTAGATCACTCAGAAAAGGATCTATCAGGGTCAAAGGCACTAGATGGCCTCTGTTGAGTTTTACATGATACCTGGTTTCTCAAGGACAGAGGATCATTGGAGGATATCATGGGGTCCCATGGGGGGTTACTCAGCGTCAGTGGGTACTCAGTGGGGTCCTTGGTCTCTCAAGGTCAGGAGATTCTTGGGTCAATCACTTTGAGTCACTTTGAGTCACTCAGGTAGTCCCAGAGTCTGTCTTACCGGCATCCATACACTGCAATCAGCAGGTGGCATACACATTTGCCCATAGCGGCATGTGCTCAAGCAACTCTGCTGCCCGCAGCTCCAGGGCCCACAGCGTGGCCACCTTCTTGCCCAGTGGCCACCTTCTTGCCCAGTGTCTGCTCCTTCTGCACCAGGCGGTGCTCCAACCCTGAGGATCAGGTCATGTGAGCCATGCTCCGACCCTTGGCCCTAATCTCTGACCCCGGTCCTCTAATCTGTCATGACCTTAACTCTGACCTAAATGAGCTCTAACCCTAATCAACATTTGACCGGTTCTGAACTTTGACCCCAGCCCTGACCCTCCCACACCATCCCTGTTCTGACTCTGACCCTCCCATCTGACCCTTATCCCACCCCATCCCCACCCCTATGCCTGATGGAGGACACCTTCAGCTCTGGGCAGTTTCTGGCCTATGGTGTCTGGTGCAGGGAGGGCACCCTGGATCTGACCCAGCCGGAGGGCAATGCCCACTGCCCCATTTTGGGGGAGGGGCACCACCAGCCCACACCATGCCATGAGCTCCACCCTTGCAGCATCTGCACCTTCTTCTGTGGGAATTAGGGTAGGAATCTCAGATGTGAACTCTGATCTCTGACCCAACAAACATTGACCCTAACCTCTCACTGACCCTGCCTCTGACATGACTACATGGTGTGTTGGGGGCTAACAAGAGCCAAACAGGAATTTTGTGACTCAGCTGGGAAACGGTAGGTAGACTAAAATCAGCCACGGTGGATTTACTTATACCATGGAAACTAGCAAACACTACAAATCAGTTCCCTTTGACCTCCAGCCAATTGTTAAATATTTACCCACATATTAGTGCTCCCACCTGACCCCCAGTCAGCCCTTATGAGTATTCCTCATTCTGGAAGGAGTATCGTAGCAGTGTCCCAGATGCCCACCTGCCCCTGCCCTCAGCTGTGAACAGACACACCACAAGCAGACAGATACCCAAGAGGAGGATCTGCACAGTTGCTTGCACATGCGCTATGGTGGCCACACCCCAAGGCCCCCTTGTCTGATGCCATGTCTCCCGGGCCTGGATTCCTGTGGCATTTGCTGTGGCCTGGATTTGCTGCAGCTGGTAGGGGTGGGTCAGATGTGGAATGTATCTCTTGCAACCCTATGGCCAAGCTATGGTTCCCTATGACTCCCCCACCTTGGCTCCCATTCATGGCCCCAGTGGCTCTGTACCAGTTGCTGATGCTGCTCTAAGGCTGTGGCAGCTATGTCCAGGCTATCGGAAGAGTTACAGGAAGCAAGCAGATCCCGGTGGGCAGTGGGCAGGGTCCCAGGGCAAGAGGGAACAACACAGGGTACAGGAATACAGCCATCCCAGGTCCCCAATCCCTGCATTCCTGCAAACAAGACAGGTGATCCAGTGAGAAATGCCATGTCCCAAATCCCCTAGTGCTCTACACCCAGGTTACAGCTAGAAGAGAGTCCTCGCCTTGACAAAACCCCTATAGTGATCCATATCTCCACCCACCACTCCCACTTTGACTAGGAGTCTCAGAAGCTGTGGATGCAGCATCTGGACCCTGTTGACCAGCTCCTTCAGTTTCAGCTCCCACACAGCTGTTCCTGTCCCTGGGGGGCCCACCCCCCGCAGCAGCTGTTCCATCCACTGCTGGGCCTCTCGGGCCTTTCCCAGGTTGCTGTCCAGTTCTCCAAATGTGGCCACAACCTGGGCTCCAAGCAGGGCCTCCTGGAAAAGCAGGGCAGCTGAGGAGACCTGGGCCGCAGCATCTGCAGGGGATGGCAGGGAGGGATAGAGGGATGACTCAGGGCTCCACTGGCTGAGGCAGGGCCAATCAGCCTTCTGGGTTCCCCAGAGACATAAGCAAGGGCGCCTGGCCCCTTCCTTCTGCCCCAGCCTAGCCTTTACCCTCACCTGCCCATCCGCCTGCCCATTAGGCCTCACGTTGGGCTCCTATGGCCCTTTTGGGCCAGGCCAAGCCCTTGACACAGTCTAGCTGCCGGAATAATTCTTCCAGCTGTTCACATTGCCTCCTAAACCATGGCTGTCTTTCTGCCACAAACTGCCCCGTGGCCCAGTGTCTGGACCAACGCAGTTACTTTCCTCCTGCAGGAAGACGGAGTTATCAGCCTGACCAGAGATGTACTCTCCTCCATGACTCCTCACTCAAGAAAACCCACCTGACTCCAAAACCCAGGACTCAGACAGGCCAACCTGAGACCCTCTGAAATCCCCAACCCTGAGAAGCTAGCTGGAGACCTCCTCCTTACTGACCCAAGGCCCCTTGCCTGAATCCAGCTATCCACTTCATAAGTTGCTCCAGAGTCCCCGCAACAGGTGAAGACGATTCCAGGAGAATCTGTGCTTGCTGGATATCCCCTCCAGGGCCTGCAGGTGTTCACCCTGGCCCCTAGCACCCCAGTCAGGCATCCCCTGGTATAGGGAGGTGATCTTCTGGGCCCCAATTTCCAGCTGCAGCTGGAGCAGAGCTAGACATAGGTCCCAGGAGGTGAAACAGGTAGGGCAAGACATGCAGTGTGGGAAGCCACCTCTGGAAACACGGGCACACACTTGGCACCTCATCCCTGAGATACCCTCTCTGCATAAACAGGCACCTGTGTGTGGATCACAGCTGGGCAAGATGGAGCCCTGTGGGTCACAGGCACAGGCTGTGGGGGAGAGACAGGGTTAGGGCAGGGAGCAGGCAACACTTGCCCCAGCCTTGCCTCCAAGAAGCCTGGAGAACGGCCCTGTGTGAGTGGGAGGGTGCACACAAGCCTTTGCCCAAGCCACTGCTTAGAATGACCATGGGCACTGGCATCTTCCCTGGCCACAGAGGCCATATGGCATGGCAGCCTTTGGGCAGGGAAACAGCACAATGCTCCGGAAGCTCTATAGTCCAGTCAAGGGTCAGCTGGGGTGCAGGACTGGCAGATGGGTTCAGAAAAGAGCCACCCGATGTGTGCTCTCTGTAGGAATACCCCACCTGGCCTTGCCAACAGCTGTTTTCATGAGTATTTCTTTGAGTTTTGGGGGAAACATCAATAAACATGCTGTGTTCTCCTTCAGGAAAGCCTCACCGTTCCCCTGCTACTCCACACTGGGCCCCTTCAGGGAAACATCATCCCTGGTGGTGTGGATCATGTGAGTGGCTTTCTCACCTCTGCATTCCTGCTCTGGGTCACCCCAGTACCTAGACACCTGGAGCACGTGTGGCTCCCAATCCCAGGTGCACTGACCTGGGACCTGAGGGAAGAGAGTGTGGGCCAGTCAGTAGGAACACAGAGCCTCCTCTGGGTCAGGGAGAAGGACACAAGTGTTCAAAGGCAGCGTATGCAAACCAAGCACAGAGTCTTCTCCCTGCCCTGCCGCTGCCCTGGGCAGCACCCACACCTGTGCTTGGCCGAAGGCTTCTCCCTTTCCTGCTTCCTCTGGCCTGACCTCCTTGGCCAGCCCCCACCTTCCCACATTGCCAGCCTCCCACAGACCCTCTGGTTTCTCAACTCCTGACTTGCTATTCTGTGTCCTGATCTGAACAGCCCGCTGTCTCCTTCACCCTGCCTCCCACCGTCTCTTTGCCAAGGACATAAGAGCACACACTTCAGGCCTCGTTTCAGTTGGTTGCTGATCACTCTCCTCCTGGAAACTCCTGCTCACAGTGGCCATCCCCCTCTACCTGCACAAGCTCTCAATCCTTACCCTTCACCTGTGTCTCCTCAGCCTCCCCTGCCGGCCCCTGCCACGTTCAGTCCACTTGCCGGGACCCATTCACAGTGGGTCACCCGCACACTAGCACATGGCTGCATGTGGGGTCAGGCACGTGTGGTCTCATGTCTGCCTTACCCCAAATCCTGCCATTACCTTATAGCTGATGTCACACAAAAGCAGAGACTCACACAGCTGTTTGCAGCCACACACCCCGGTGCTGGTGGTCACGTGAACACTCACACCAGCCACAAGTAACATCTTGTCAGAGGCACACACACCTTCACTCACACCCGGACGCCGCCACAGCTATGTGCAACGGGGCCTCACTCCCTGGGTGACATGCCGCTGCACAGTGTGTTGGGCATGGCATTTGCAGGGCTCACAGCCCCGGGGTCCCCCCAGGTTCTAGAAGAGAGGGGCACAGTGGCTACAGTCCTGCCCCAGTGTGTGAGGGTGGCAAGAATACAGCCTGCTGACCTGGTTGCAGAAGCAGGCTTCAGCCCAAGAGGGACACCGTGCAGGGACAGTGCCCTGGGGGTCACAGCTGCAGCCTGGGGAAGAGGAAGGGACTGAGGAAAGAGAATGCACCCACCCGCCTTGGGGTGTTCTCACCCATCCTAGCCACACGCTCATGCCGGCAGCCCCCTGGACGCAGAGCACAGCCATGGAAGCCAGGCCTGCAGCGGGCACAGCTGGGACCTTGGCTGTGGTGCAGACAGCGTTGGCAGTCCCCACTGCGGGCATCGCAGGTAGCAGGATCACGGGGATCGATATTATTGTTGCACTGACAGGGCCGGCACGGACTCCTTCTGGGATCTCCCCCTGGCCAAGGGTGCCCAAAGTAGCCAGAGGAACAGCGGTCACAGCGGGGGGCCTGGAAAGGATCGAGGTATGGGTGGGTTGTCTCAGGTGCCTTCCTGTACCCTTGTGGCCTGTGGGTCCCACATATGCAGCCAGAAAGTCTGAGGTCAAGCCAAGAGGGCAGAGAACATAGAAGCTACATTACAGCCCACCTGTCTGGTTTACAAATTCCATGTCTATAGCTCCTCCCATCTGCCCCTCCCTCCCTTGAACAGCAACTCCTCCAGGAGAGGTGCCCAGCCTGGAGCTCCACATACAGGTGGCCCTGGCAAAGATTTGCCTTGTAGACCTGATGAGGTTGTGAACAAGTGAGCAGGGCCACCGGGTTGCCCTTGCCAAACAGCCCTCACCTACATAGCCAGGTGCACAGAGGTATGGGACACGTCCACTCGCACTGTCCACATGGCAGGAAATCCCATGATAGAGGCCGGAGCCAGGGTGCCCAGGACAGAGGCAAGGTCGGCACTGTTGGCATGAGCCCAGGGTGGGGTCTCCATAGTAGCTGTCCAAGCACCTGTGGGCAGTAGCACATGTAATGAGACGTGGCCCACTCATCATAATTCCTACCCAGCCCTTCCAGTGACAGCACTCACCTCGCACACTGTCAGCCTGTGGTGGTTCCCAGGCAAGCCTGGCAGACCCCTGTGAGGGGCTGGCACAACTCAGCGTGTCCAGTGCAGGTGCAGGGCTGGCAGAACAGAAAACCCCACCAGCCAGAGAGGCAGTGGGCACAGTGGTGACCAGCAAGGCCTGCCCGGCATGTGCACTGCCCACTCACAGGGTTACAAATGGTACTAGTGGGGGTGCCTGGGTGGCTCAGTTGGTTAAGCAACTGCCTTCGGCTCAGTTCATGATCTCAGGGTCCTGGGATCGAGCCCCGCATCGGGCTCCCTGCTCGGCAGGAAGCCTGCTTCTCCCTTTCCCACTCCCCCTGCTTGTGTTCCCTCTCTCGCTGTCTCTCTCTCTGTCAAGTAAATAAATAAAATCTTAAAAAAAAAAACACAACAAATGGTACTGGTGGCCCCCGGTGTGGCAGTGGCACTCTGTGGGGAATGACAGGGCCGTCAAGCCATGCAGAGAAAGGAGATGGTTGGTCCCAGACCCCATACCCATCCTCGCTGGCCCTGAAGGCTTACCACTGCAGCCAGTGGGCCTGATGCTGTATATTTCAGACATGCAGTCACAGGTACGACCAATGATATTAGGATGGCAGGGGCACTGCCCACCTAGTGGGGCTCACTCAGTACTCAGGGAACCCTGGCGGTGGCACTCACATGCTGGCAGGAGAAAGAGCGAGATAAAGTGAACCTCACGGGGCTTCCTGAAACCCCTATATTGCAGCCCCCTCAAGCCAGGGGCACACTCTCACCAAGGCTACCCCCATGGAGCAGGGCCGAGATGCTGCAGACAAGGCGGGCACAAACCTCAGAAACGGTGCTGGGGAGGCCAGTCCTTGCTTCTTCCACGCAGCCTGCCTTGTGGAGCTCCTGTAAGTGCTCTGTGGACCCTGGGGCCACAGATCTCAGCCCAGGCAACTCCTTCACCCACGGCAAGAGCACAATCTAGTAGGAGGGTGGAGGGTGGCAGGCAGAGGGCAGTGAGCCCAGCCCCACTCACTATCACTTACTAACTACCCTTCCTTGTAGTGGACGTCACAGCCCCTTCCTACCCCTTTCCTAGTTCTCTTCTGAGTCTGTTTCTCCTTCCTGTCCCATGGCCCCCCATCTAGTCCACACAATGCCACCTCTCACTCAGAATCACTGCAGCAGCCTCCGCCTTGCAATCCATTCTCCCCCATGAATCTTCCCTGTTCAAGTCCCTTCCATGGCTCCCCACTGCCCCACAATGCCCATAGGTCCTTGGAGGTCTGGTGACTGCTTATTCTCATCTTCTATCCTTGGCATGTGCTTTGCTCCTGCCTGGATCCCCCTCCTTACACTATGCACCTGTCTCCATCCTCTTGGTGCAACTCCAGGCCTCTGCGACACCTACTCCCCAGCCCTACTGCATCCACATCATCCTGCTATAATCTGTCTCCCCCAGATGTGGGGTGGAACCCCTAGGACCTCACCGAATCCAGAAGGATAGTGCCCCCCTCTGGTCTCCGCAACCCCTTGGTCCTGCACAGCCGCAGGGTCAGGGAGTAGCGTGTCCCTGGGTCACAGCAGAAAGGTCTGGATAAAACCACAGCTCTGCAGGGAGCAGGGAAGGAGTAAGGGTGGGATAGGAAGGCCATGATCAAGTGGTCCCAGGGGTGTCCCATTTCTGCTGCATCTAGTATTTCATCATATGACCCATGCAAAAAAACCCAACTTCTTAAATCTTGATATTTTATGTTCACTCCCTGTTTTGACTGCCCTATGACATGACGATATTCCATATTGGAGATTTTCCACTTTGACTGTTGTTTCAAATGTGTTGGCAGCATAATAGGGTCTTGCTATTGAGAGTCCTAGGGTCCTGCCTACCTGCGTGCGTAGGTCAAGGCCACCTGGAATAGCTGCTCTGAGCACAGATGGGCACAGCGGGTGCTCCTGGACAGGGACTGGGCATGAACACAGACTAATGCCTGCCAGTCTTCAGGTGCCTGGGGTTGGGGATCAGCAGTCCTAGAGCTGCCCCTGCCCACCACCCAGCATTACCCATTCACCTGCTTGGGAGGTGGAGCTCCCTGGAGGCAAGCCAGGTGTCAGTGCCCTCCAACATTCTGGCCCTCTCTTCTCCCACACTGCCCTGAAAACATGGGTTCTAAGACACCAAACCTCTGACCATGCTGATGTCCCCACCTGGACTTTCTCACCTTCCTAACCCTGCTCAGCCTCTTATTCCAACTAGCTTTCTCTACACACTCCCTCCCTCCCCTGAAAACCAAGTCTGAGCCTTGGTTTCCTCCTGCCCCTGCCCCTACCCGTCCTGGACACTCACAGACAACTGGGGGTCAGCTGGCTGGAGGACCTGGTCAAGCTCAGCTTCAGCAGTGGCTTGGTCAAGAGCAGCACAGAGTGCCCAGATTGGAGTTCATGGCAGCGGCGGCCACAGAGGTGAGGGCGGCATGAGGGCAGAGGCCGTCCCCAGCAGAACACCCGAACAAGCATGGGGGCACGGAGGGAGAGTCAACTCCTGATTCTTGCCGCTTGATCCCCATTCCCAGGCCCTGCCTTATACCTGTTGCTGTAGGCACCCCCAAAGTCACAGTCACAGGGCCAGCAGCCCAGAGAGTCACTGCTCAGACCCCAGAACTCAGGCTGTAAGAGAGAGCGAGGACGTGGAGAAAGGACAAGATCTGGAGCCTGCGAGGTCACGTACGGGGACTGCCTGTTGCAGGAACAAAGGCCGCAAGCACAAGGCTTGAATGCTCCTCTGCTTGCTGCTGGGAGGGGGTGAGGAGACCCCATTGTACTCATGCACACCTTCTTAAGAGATAAGGTGAGGACACTGCAGGGGTTAAAGTAAAAGTTAAACAAAGGATTTACATTCAAGGAGAGGCAAGAAAGGGGTGGAATTGTTTCTTGGACTGAGAGTTCCTTCAAACATGTTTGTTGCAAAACACCTTTAAACCTAGCTCTTTAAACCAAAACTGTTGTAACTTGTTTCATCGCTTTTCCTTTTTATGCCCCCAAAGCTCCCACCTGGGGGCATATGCTGGTTCAGCTAGCTGAGGTGGCATTGACCCCGATAACCAGATCAGGGAGTTGAACCAACCCATGTGTAAGGCTCAGTCTACAGTCACACTGATTATAGCCTTATACTTACCAGCTTCTTGAAGCTCAATGCCCAAGATCAAGGTCAAATCAGAAGGCTTACCAGACAACAGCTGCAGTCCCATCCAGAGACAAAGCATTTGCCAGTGACAGGTACCGCTGGAGGGATCACAGGCATGAGTGCCAGGGACCTGGCCCCAGGGGTCACACCTGCAGGCTAGGGCACAGGGCTCCAAGGGTGCTACTGGGACTGCTGCAGAGGTAGGTGCATGCATGTGTTCTTATGGCATTGATTGGGGGCAGAGCAAGGACATGGCGTTTGGGGTCCGCTCCCAGGGTAACTCATGCTGGCAACCTTCTGTTTAGGTGGGGCTGAGGCCACAGTGACCAAGCTGGCAGAAGTCACAGCGCTGGCTCCAGACATGAACTTTGCAGCAACACTGCCCAGAGAGGAGACCACGGGTCTCATCTGTGTGGGCATCACAAAAACCCCCTTCCAGGGTCCCCCCAGGATCCCAGTTACAGGCTGCATCATGGGTCAGAGGTGAGGACAGAGTTAGGTCAGAGGTCACCACGGAGCTGAAGGATCGAGGTCAGAGTTGGGATTGGGGATTGGAGGGCTCACGTTTGCAAGAGTGAAGGGAACGGGGATCCTCCCTGGGATCTCAGCAGAAGGGCTGGCAGAGATCACAGTGGCGCCCAGCTGTGTTGTGCTGACGTGTGTCACACATGCCTCCACTCACATTGCCAGATGCCAGATATAAGGTCATGTCAAAGTGACAACTGTGGGCATGCCCATTGCACTTGCATTCTAAGGCAGAACAAGGAAGGTGGACATGGAGTGGGCTGAGCCGGGCAAGTATGGCCAGGCAGAGAGGGCATGGCACCTACCCTGGCAGGCGTGAGGGTGCCCAGGCTATGCCGCATGCCATGGGTGGTTCTGGTACAGGTCCTGGCAGCGCTCACAGTGGGTACCAGCTGTGTGGTGGTGGCAGACGCAAAGGCCATGCACCTGCCAGGGAGGAGGGCAAGATGAGTCTGCCCCAGTCCCCCCAGCTTGCCCACCCCACTAGCCACTGGATGCCCCTCCCATGGTGCTCACCATGCCTTTCACATTGGCTGGGATCCCAGCTATGGGCTTACACTCAGAGGCATGGCCATGGCACAGGCAGCTGCCTCTGGCCACAAGCTCATAAAGGGAACAGTAGTAGAAGGGGTGTCGCTTTAGGCCCCCCAGTGGCCTGTCTCCCAGTGTGTGCAGTTTGGAGAAGTTGACACGGAGCTTTGTCACACGCAGGAGCTCTGGAGACACAGGTTGGGGGACCTCAGATGCACTAGTCATCATCCCTCTATGGCTGGGATGGAAGGGGGAGGAACGGGGGTAGAGTCTCTTATCTGAGTCACTACAGCCATCTCCTCCAGCATTCATGCTGTGGGACCCCCCATTCCTGTTCCTCCGGGCATGTCATCTTAGGATGACTACAGCCTAATGGTGATAATTCCACTTCTGCATGGCTCCAGCCCTAGTATCACTCCTGAGCTGAGACCTGCACATCCCACTGCTTCCTGGACATCCCATCTTGGCATCACTAGATATTTGCAACCTACTTTCCTAATGCTGTAAAGCATTCCATTCCCCAGCCCATCATCAAAACTAGAAATCAGTTTATCATCCAGCCAAACCATATACGGTATTAGTTTGCTTTTTTATCGTTTTTCTCACTTTCATGTCAGCTCCAAGACAGATACCTTGTCTATCTCCTTCCCACTGAGCCCTGCTCAGAAGATAGATGTCTGGTACGCAGCGGAGCTCAATGGGCACTTGTTCAATGTATACATGGGAGAGATGGGTCCATGGCTCCTTTCTGTTCCACAGCTTATGTCAGTTACTGAGCCAAGGTTATCTCTTGTACCCCTCCTTTGCCAGGTGTCTCTCCCGTGATCAGATCAGAAGAGCAACAGCTGCTTGGAAACCTAGCATGGGGACTTGGTGAGTGGTTGGTAACAACCAGTCAAGGTGGGTGGAGAGTGCTAGTTTGGGCTATGTCCTGCTCTGGTACTCGCCTGACCTGACTCTGGGCTGCCTTGTCTTGTCTTTCAAGACTCCTGCCTTACAAGAAAGAGGTCACAACCCAGAGATGCCCTGGCATCACCTAGAGGCAGCTGCAGAGATGCAGGGTACCAACTAAGGCCCGGATGATGAATCGGGAGGGCAACGCCAAGGGACCAGGATGGAGGCAGTGATGGAGGCTCATAAAGGGGACAGTCATGATGTTCAGTGATAGGTGCAATGATGGGGTACATTGTTGGGGCTGGCATAGAAAGTAGCGATGAGAACTACAATGGGGCCCCACAAAGGAGTTATGATGGGGCAGAGATGGAAACTGTTACACGTGCCAGTCCCTCTGCACTGGGCGCAGGTCCAGGGAACAATGATGGGATAGGAATGGAGGGCCATAACAGGGCCCACAATAGAGGACCACAATGGTGCAGAGCTGGGGAATGATGCTGGTTTGCCTGCCACCCCTGCCCCACTTGTGTACACACCCAGGCAGGACCTCACCTCCCCCCAGTATCTGGCTGTCCTAACATGCAAGGAGTACAGGATTGGCTGTGGTGACAATTACCCTGAATCTTGGGGTTGTCTGGGTTCTCCACCAGAATGGCTGAGTCCAGAACTTTGAAAATTACCTGAGAGAAGAAAGCAAACCTGAGCCTCTGGCTTCACCCCAGGGCCCAACCCCCTTTCTCTGGGCCTGACCTGGCCCTCAGTGGAAGGCTTGATGTCAGAGTAATGCTGGTCACAAACAAGGTCACTGACTCTGTGGCCAGGAGCAAGACGGATCCCAGGAAAAAGGCCTGAGCAGTTGTAGGCAGAGTATCAGTACACATGCCAGGAGTGGCCATGGTCCACTACGCGCTCCAGGAGCAGAGCTGCTGGGTGGAATGCCAGGGGACAGGAGGGGATCCTTGGGTCACCAGGGGCAAGCATCACTGGTGGCCATCAGGTCAGGAGGCACAGAGCAAGCCTTCAGGCTGGGGCATTGGGTCACCTTGAAAGTCATGATGAGGTGGGTAAAGTAGAAGGCACTCTCTAGGTCCAGCTGGATGGTGACATTCTCAACACCTGCAACCACAAGGGCTTGTCAGCGTGACCAGGCCATGACCCTAGACCCGAACACATGGGCACACGTGTACCCTCACCACTCTCTGCTTGCCACCAGGTCTTGTTGCTGCCACGACCACCACTCCAGATCACATTCTCAATGCCATGGCCTCCCTGGTCCCGAGAGTCACAAAAGAAGCAATTCTCAGATTCCTGGGGGAATGGCCAAGGAGAATGACAAGGCAAGAGGTATGTAGTTGGCCCCTAATTCCAAAATTTCACAGCACAGGCCTCCCCTCTCCAGCCCCCAGCAATGACCTGAACCCTCGCAAGGCCAAACCTGCCCCGGAAAACCCAGAGATACCATCTCCAGAGCCCTCACACTCCTCCCCACCTGTAGGTGACTGACAATGCAGCAGGGCTCGGAAGGTTCTGGCCAAGGCCAACAATCAAGTTGCCGGTTGGTGGGGAAAGTGTGTCTGGCACCTCCTCAGCAATTGTTCTGGGAGCCTGGACTGGGAAGGACAGGGTCTGAGTAGAGATCCTAGGGATACCCCTCACCTCACTCCCCACAGGGAGGCCTGGAGAGTTCTTCTCCCCCTTTGGATGGCTCTCAGAGAAAGAGCCAACCTCTCACCCATTGGTGGCAGCAGCAGCAGAACTGAAAGGAGTTGTAGACTGCGAAGGAGGAGGCCTAGCCAGGCTGGGGGTCCTGGGCCATGAGCTGGAATCAGGCCTGAGAGAGAGGATGAAGAGTGGGCCCCAAGGGCCCCTGCCCTTGAGGAGCTGGGTGTGGCCCCATACTCACATGGTAGATGAAAGCAGGACTGCCAGACACAAGGAGCATGCAGGGTTGTGAAGCCACGGTGAGGCTGGGAGCACGGGGTCCCCAGAGCCTGGGAACCAAGGGAGGCCGTACCCTACTCATGGCAGCCACCAGATGCAGAAAAAAAAAGGGAGGGGGTACCAAAAAAACAAGCAGAACTTCTCTACAGGTCCGCCATCCAGTGCAGCTGGCGCTAGTGGGGCCAGGGTTCAGACTAACCCAGAGACAGGAGAGATCCGATTCTCATTCAAATGAGGCTCCCATCCCTAGCCCTGAAAGGCTGCTGGTCTCTAGGAGCCTCTGGGGAATGTGTCCCCCTCCCTGCCAGCCCGAGCCACTGCCTTTCAGGGCGGGCAGACAGGGAAGGACTGGCAGATGGGCGGGGAGCTAGTTTTGTTCTGGGGGCCCAGCCCCCTCTCCGAAGCAGGAAGAGCCTTTAGTGTCTGAAATACACACAGGGCCCTGTTGGGAAGCTTGGTAAGGCAGGACCTGGGAACAGAGTGCTTGGGACTCAGGCAGAAAGCACTGCTGATGGGGCAAAGCAGTTGTAGAAACTCTCCTGGCTCAGCTAACACAGTACCCCACTGATCAAAGGAGAAAATTCTGCAGTCAGTGAGGACAGACTCAGTGGCCAAACAACCCAGAGCCCTGGCCTCTGACTCAACCCCAAACCCTTGCCACCAACTGGGGAAGTCGAGGCTGGAAGGACAGGCAGAGGTACTTTAGCTAATTTAGGCCTGGCCCTGCCCCAGACAAGCTCAGGTAAAGCGCCAAGATTTCAGCCAGAGCAGGCTAGGAGACAAGGCCAGGCTGTCTGAATGGCCCCTGGGGAGCAGTACCACAAAACCCCCCTTCCCTGGCCTAGAAACCTGCTGGCTGCACGGTTCCCCACAGAGCCACCTACTGTCCTCTTGCATAGGGCCTACCTGGATAACAAACCAGTACAGCCCGATGGGGAGGTGTGCCACCTCCGAGTGGCTCTGCCCCTGTCCTCAGGGGCTGCTTCTCACACATCGACAGAGGCCAGCACCTCCAGAGAAGCCTGAGAGCTACTCTTCCCACTCACACTGATGACCTGTCTCAGGCTACCACAACCCCCTTTGGCAGCCCTGTTCCTGGGGCCACTTTTCCTATATGCTCAAGCTGGCCCACCAGCAGCTACAAACGCAAAAAAGACCATAAAGGGTGGGCAGGGAGACTGGAAGGTGGAAAGGTATAAAACGTGATAGATGGAACAGTGGAGGTACAACTTGAAGAGTAACAAATCACAGTGCATCGCGCCATGAGAACACCCCTCCCGCCCACCCATACCACCCCATATCCTCCAGTCTCTGAAAAGAGAATGGTGGCTCTCAGGGCCCTGGAGAGGCACCTGGAGTCCTTGGGGTTGAAGAATCCATGGGCATTGCACACTGTGCCACTGGCCGCACAGACAACTGGGCTCAGTTTCCCCAAACATTGCTATGCGAAGGAATCAGGGTGCTGAGTATGGCAGCAATGGCTGGAGCTGTATTACAGGGGACAGGTTCACACGGAGGATCCGTTGAGCCCGCTGCCGCACCTCATCGTCCGAGGACCGCCTGTCCACCTTGATGGCCTGGAGTTTCAGCAGCTTTGCTGTTCCAGGCCCTAGCCACGCCTTAGGGGATCGGGGCCCAAGTCGTGTTCTTTTCTGGGGAGGAAGATCCTTTGCCTCCTCAGCCCTTTTCCTCTTCTGCCCCACAGTCTCAGGGCGGCTTTTTGGGCCCCTCCTCGCAGTCCTGGCCTGAACAGACCCTTTTGGCCTGCCCCTGCTCCTGGACTGGGTCCGAGCCACCTTTGCCTTGGCCCGAGCCACCTTTGCCTTGGCCCGTGCTGCCTTGGCCTTGGCCCGCACTGCCTCGGCCTTGGCCCGCACTGCCTTGGCTTTGGCCTTGATCTGTGCCGCCTTGGCCTTGGCCCTGATCCGTGCTGCCTTGGCCCTGGCCCTGATCTGTGCTGCCTTGGCTTTTGCTCGAGCCTTGGCAGCTTTGGCCTGTGTTCGAGCCACCTTGGCCTGAGCAGCTTTGGCCAGTGTTCGAGCTGCCTTGGCCTGGGATGTTTTGGTGCCCAGGGCAGAGCCACCTTTCATTCGTAGGCCACTGAGGGACCCAGTGGCTTTGTAGGTCTTGTTCCGGGGTGTAGTGCCTTGTTGGGGTCTGGCCCTGGGGCCTCTGTAAGTCAGACACTTAGGGCCCTTGCCTGTGGCTTTTCTGGGAGCTTTGGACCGACAGTTCCCCTGCCTCTTCCCTGGACCTTTGCGCAGCTTCAGGGGAGAGTCTGCAAGTGAGAGCTGCAGTGACTGTGCCTTGTGCTTGGCACCCAAGCAGGGCATGGGAGTCTTTAGTGGAACCAGGGCCTCAAGGACAACAGAGAGCCGCATGGCAGGGTAGACACCTGGATAGAGGTGGGCGGGGAAGCCCACTGCTGCACCCCGGGCACGGCTGGCACTTGACTGCTTCAGGGAGCTCAGCAGCAGGTTGGTGGTAGCATGCTTGGCAAGGGCTGGTGAGGATGCTTTGGCCAGCCTTCCAGATAGTGGCATAGGGAGCAGCGTGGCCCGGCCTGCAGGCAGCCGCATGGCAGTTCGGGGAGCACTGGCTGGAGGTGATGTGGCAGCTGGGGTGGGGGCACGGGCTTGCAGCTTCGTCTGGCTTGGGGGGTTGGCTGTGCATGAACTATAGCCATAGACATCACCGCTGCGCAGGATGGTGGGTTGGAAGCCATCATCCCGCAGGCCCTGCAGGAAGGCTACAAGCTGGGCCTCTGTGGCACTGAGATCCTGGCTCATGGGGTTAAAGACAAGCAGCGCCTCCTCCAGGGCCTTCTTCCCTGCCGTGGAGATCCGCGACCAGGAGTGCACAGCTTTCTCCTCCACATGCTGCACCACGCTCATGGCATTAGGCACTGCAGATCTGCCTGGGTATCCACAAACCAGCGCTCGGCACCTCCAAGACAAGAGGAAAAGAATCAATAAGAACGGCACCGAGGGGCGCCTGGCTGGCTCAGTTGGTGGAGCATGCGTGTCTTGATCTTGGGGTCGTGAGTTTAAGCCCCATGTTGGGTGTAGAGATTATTTACAAAAAATGATAATACTTTGGATATATTGCATTAAAGAAAATATATCATTGGGGCGCCTGGGTGGCTCAGATGGTTAAGCATCTGCCTTCGGGTCAGGTCATGATCCCAGGGTCCTGGGATTGAGCCTCACTTTCGGCTCCTGGCTCAGCGGGGAGCCTGCTTCTCCCTCTCCCTCTGCCTCTCTCCCTGCTCATGCTCTCTCTCTCTCTCTCTCTATCTCTGCGTCTCAAATGAATAAATAAAAATCTTTAAAAAAAAAAAGAAAATATACTATTACATTAAAAACAAAAACAAAACCAAAAAAAAGGCACTGAGGTAAGAGGCAAGGCAGGTAGGTAAGTCCATCAGAGCCTGCACTCTCCATGATTAACAACCATCAATACAAAGGGCCTGGCCAGAGTGAGCCACTGCTTGGGGCAAAACCCTGGTCTCCTGAACTACCATGGTGTCAGGGTGAGGACTGGGGTGGCAGGGGGGACCCACATGGGTCAGAGGCAGTTTCTTCAAGATAAATGTCCAGAAGCTCATGAGAGCCATCCAACCTGCTGTTGGGTCCCTGGAAAGATTTGGGCTTGGTCGGCCCATTTTAATTCAATTCTCCATTTTCTGAGGCCAGAAACCTGGTATTAGACTCAACCCTGGGAACGCAGGTATGTCTGCAAGGAGGCCTATATAGAAGGCAAGACAGAGACCATCAAAGTTCTTGGGAGTGCACACTGGCACCCAGCTTAGCTTGCCACTGAGTCAGAGGATTCCTAGGAGAAGCAACACCTAGATGGGACATGACTGATGAAGGACCAGATGGAAATGGAGCAAAAAAGGGAACAGCCTATGCAATGGCTTGGAAATGAGAAACAGTAAGGCACATTTAATGTGTGTGACTGGAGTCTGTGGTCAGGGCTGGGAGGTCTACATGGAAAAAGAGCTAAGAGCAGGACAACATGAGCTTTGAAGTCATGCTCATCTCTCTCTGTTCCTCCAGCTGCTTTTGTTCAGGTGCTCAGGGGTGAACCTCCCTGCCTACCAGAAGTTTTGCTTTTGGAGTACCCAGACAGACTGAGAGGTCTGATCCTGGCACTGAAACCACGGAGACTAACCCCAAAGCAAGAGTCAGACTCTCCTTTCAACAGAAACTAAGAAGATAAGTAGCAGGTACTCAAGACAGACGTCTTGGCAATCAGGCAGCCTGGGGGCCAGGCAGCCAGACCAAGAGCCCAAGGTCTGACAGCCAAAGGCTCCAACAGGATGATTAATAAGGTGAACACTAGAAACCTGAGCTGTCCTAACTAGGGTCTGGAGGGCTGCAGACCTCAGTCCAGCCCAGATGGAGCTGTCTGGGAACACCCAACTTGTCCCAGGCTTCTTCACGAAGAAGCCATAGGCTGTCAGTCAGGACTAATGTCTAACGCCCAACCCAACACTGAGGGCTCCCAGAGGGAGCTCCCCAGCTGTACCTGAGCATTAAAAGATCAGCTGGGATCAGGCAGGTCCCCGGGGCCAGGAGGCGCGTCTGTGCACCTTCTTCCTACCGCCCTAATGGAGCAGAGGAAGTTTTCAGAATCCCCTGGAGGAAGTGCCCTGGGGCTCTTTGTTTGGAAACATTCTTGGATCCTCAGGTGTCTCGGGCACTTCCTCTCTCCAGAGGCCATTCTCCAAGCACAATCCTTGCACATGACTTCAGTTCTTTTATTATTTTTTTCCAGGGGGTGTAGTTCCCAGGACTGTGAACTGTTGAATAGGGAGGGGCCTGTTTCCCCGCAGGCACAGATACTGGGGGTGAACTGGAGGCTCTTCCGCCCAGGTCGGTCTAGACTCTTGGGAGGGGTCTTCTGGGCTTTCCAAGAGGCTCCGGAAACAGAGGCTGCAGTCTGGCCCCCGACTTCCCTTCACACGTGCCCCCGGGGCCGACAGGGAAGTTGATGAAAGACAGGGAACGGGAGAGGCCTCATCCAAGCGGGAGCGGGTTGGGGGCCGATCAGGGCCATTGGCCTGGGAGTCCGTGTCCCTGGGGCCTGAGCCGCGGATAGGAGCAGGGATCTTGGAGGCAGCGAAACGCGAGGGGCGGGCGGGGCGAGCGGGGCGAGCCCGACCGGGTCGCGCAGCCCCAGGGTGGGGTCGCTGGGCAAGGGGTAGAGGGGTGGGGGGCATCTTGGCCAGGCCGGTGGAGGGCGCGGGTCTAGAAAGAGCCGGCCGCCCGGCCCATCCGCCCCGTCGCCTCGCGGACGGCCCCTCCGCGGCGCGGCTAGGCCCATGGCCCCAACCTACCGGCGCCGCCGCGGGGACCCAGGACGCGCCTCTGCGCCGCCTCCGCTGCTCCAACATGGCCGCCCGCTGCGCACCGGAAGCGCGCCGCACTTCCGCTTCCGGGACCTGGCCCGCCCTAGTGACCCTTGACCCCCTGAGACCCCGTTTCCCCCAAAGTCTGGGGGCAGGGCAGGTGGGTACCAAGGAAGGCTTCCTGGAGGAGGTGGCCGCAGGGAACGCTCTAAATCCATCCGGACCTGTGCAGGAGTCTGAGGAACAGTGGTGCTCTCAGACATGTCCCAGACAGGACTGCACAGGAGCCCTCCTAGGACTGGATTAAGGCCTAACTGACACCCCCTCTGAGGGACCTGGTGGTGCAGCGACATCTGGGAGGGTTTCCCTGCAAGTTCCAAGCCATCCTCCAAGCTCTGGTCCTCCCACAGCAACGGACAAGGCCTGCCTCTGTCCCAAGCTCCTGACCAGAAGGAAAGAGGAATGCCCCATTGTCTGCCTGAGAGTGTTGCAGGGGTGTCTCCTCAAGGGAAGCAGGCCCTCCTCTCTTCCCAAGAATGAGGTCCACATGTGGGATGAAAAGCTGATGTGCACACACATGCTGCACACAATCCCAAAGCTAGGCATGCCCTATCTGAGAGTCCTAGCATACCAGTGTACTATGCCTAGAATACCATGTGCATGGGTGTGGTGGGAGAACTCTTGCCCAGCCTCAGCCCCCTCAATGTCAGGAAGTCCTGGCTCCAGTCTCTCCTGTGCAGAATCCTTGTCCTTTCGCCTAGGAGACTGGGACCTCAGTCTTGCTACCTGTACCCTGGGGTCAGCAGAGGGCTGGTGGTTATAGAGCCCACTGTCCAAGCAGCACCAGATGAGAGGACACAGGTTGAAATCAACCCTTGGAGTCTAAGAGGTTAAACTCTAACCAAAGGCCCCTCTTAGGGTCCCCCCACCCCAAGTCCAGGTTGGGAGCCAGCATGGAAGCTCTAGTTTTTGCACTTCAGTCAGAGCCTGAACTAGGAGGCAGAAATATTGCCACAACACTTGGACCCTGATATGTACAATGGTGCCATATTTGGTAGCTGGGGGTAGGTGAATGCCTGTGGGCAGTCACAAGAGGGTGGGTGGATGCTTCATTTAGGGCCTGACTAATAACTCTTCTCCCTCCCCGTATGACCCCAGGATCCTCAAGCTTGTTCTACGTTGCCTACTGATACAGAAGGGTCTAGGCACCCCTAAAGAGAAACACCCAACCCACCCTAGGCCTCATCTGGTAACTCTTGAGCTTCCCAGGACCTCAGCACTGACAGTGAGGTCCTCGTCCCTTCAAGCATAGCCAAGGTGTCCAACAGTAAAATGCAAACTCTCCTGCTTCTTTGGGGTTAGTGCTTCTAACCCCTCATCCTGTTAGAAAGAAGGGAAGTGTGGAGTCCCAAGGGCCAGGGAATCCTGGTGCAATCAGGAAGTCCCACCTTAGTATGCCCAGTCCCCAACTGTGGGTGAGCCCTGTCTCTGTCCCATCCATGGGACAGAGGATTAGCTGCTACTCTCAGGACCAATCTCACCTCACCTCCTGCACAAGTTGTCTTCCATAGCTTCTCCAAAGCCAGCAGTGTTGGCCTCCTGTGTTTAGGTGGTGCCAGGACTGTGTAAACAGAAGCCAGTCCCATGAAGAGTCAGAGTCCAGCCTCCAGGGATGGCATGGATTTAGGTGTGTCCTGAAAAGGGGAATCCCTCTCTCGTGATGTCCAGCCCAGAGTTCAGTGCAAAATGGAGGACCAGGTAGGGAAGGTCCATCCCCAGGCTGTATCCCTTGCAGACATTAGAACTGGGGGGATAGTAGGGGTTAGGGGTCAGGGTCATGGGTACCTAGCATCCCGAGGGGAAGCTGAGCCTTCTGCCTCTTGGTGCTCAGTATGTCCCAGATGGAACTCTGGGAGCATTAATCAGAGCAAAGAGTGACTTGACCTCGATTTTGGTGGATGCTGACCCTGTAGGTGTAACTGTGATTGGAAAGGATGAGGTTGGTAGAGACCACGGGGTCATCCCAGGATCCAGCCCTTGCTCTCCGTTTGGCATCTTTTACAGCCCTGAGTAATGGGCCCTAGACCCATTTCCACCTGACCAGAGAGATCTGGTGGACATCTAGTTGTGAGTGATGCCAGTGGGCCTGGAAGGGCTCACCCCAGGAGGGAGTCTGTGTGCCAAGGAGAAAAGCCAGGGCTGGATCTCGAGGAGCTACTTCCTGGGGAGTAGAGGAAGCAGGGCCTTCAAAAGACTCTGGGAAGCAGGATGAGTTGGAGCAGAGGTGCCAAGTTCACAAGAAATGAAACTTTGAAGATGTCAGCAAGATTTCAGTTGTGACAAAGACTGAAGGGACCAATAGTATTAGCTATATGGTGTTCCATAGTGACTTTGGCAAGAGCAATTTTGGGGGAACAATTTTGTTCTGCTCACTGCTGGACATAAGGTAGCAGATACCAAGGTGACTGGAGGAGAGGAAGGGGAAATGGAGGGACTGGGGGTCCTGGGAGGTATCTCAAGGTAGGAGGCTTTTAAGTGCTTAATTACTGGAAAGGGAAGAGTGGGAAATGTAAGGGGTTTTGCAGAGCAATGTGAACACCCTGTGGAGGAAGGTAACAGTGCCCTAAGTGAAGAGCATATTGGGAGCATAGTGGAGAGGATGGAAGCCTTCTAGCTAGGTTCTGTAACTGGCCTTGGTGCCACCATTTCCATAGAGACCTTCCAACTCCAATTGCCAGCCTGTAAAAGGGGCTGGAGACTCTCTCTGGTCATGAAAAGGCTCTGCCCACACTCAGGGTTGGCTTCAGGATTTAGGCAAGCCAAGGAGTTAATGCCCCCAAGCAGCTCTTAACCCACAACTGATGGAGATTTGAGAATGAATTCCTCAAGCAACCTTTGCTCTGGGAGGGACTCCAGCAAGATTTGGTCCCAGTTGCCCACAGTGGTAACTTGCTTGATGACACAGCCTTTATTGGCTGCTTTCTCTTTTTGCCACTCCTGGGCTGGTGCTTCCTGGCCTCACCTCCCACATTAACTGTATGTACTGATATCTTTGTCTCCAGATGAGCTTCTTGGGGATTGAGACACACACCGTCCATGAAAGAGGGACAAGATAGTAGCAAGGATTTCTTCTAGGTGACCACCAACCTGCACAAATGGTCCTGCAGCTCACAGACTTAGCTAATACTCTGAATGCCCAGAAGATAGCCTGGTTCTGAAATAGATAGGCCTCTGTCACACCAACTTGCTCTCACCTGATCCCAGAGTTGGCTACAAGCAGGCCCAGGACCCTGGATATGAACTGTCACAAAATGTCCTGGGTCCCATAGTAGCCCAGGCCTCAGGCCCTACAGAGTGACCTGCCCAGGAGGTCCCCTGGCCTCTGACACTTGAAGCTCATCCCTTGCTCAGAGCTACCCTCCCAGCAAGAACTTCCCCCACCCAGGCCTGTGGAAGGGCCTGTCAGGCACTGAGGCCGGCACTGCTTGCACCTCCATCCCCTGCTAGCTTCGATGTCCACGGTAAGACCTATTCTGCGCCTTGCTGTGTGCCTGGGGAAGTGCCACCCAGCCGCCACCCCTACCAGAGGCCCAGGCCATGCCCCAAGTGGCCTCCAGGGGGCGCCGCCGCGAAGCCTGTCTTAGGGCTCCTAAGAGCTCAGTGCCAGTGGGCGGGCGCGGGCCTCTCAAGCCTGCTGGTTCTGCTGGCCCGCCCCCCGCCCCCCGCCCCCCTAACCCCGCGGGTGCTCCCAGGCTGGGTCCCGCTCAGAGCGGTCCCCCACCATACACGTGTTGTGCTGCTCACTGCTGCCTCAGTTCTCCCCCAGCCCAAAGTCGGACCCTAAATCCTGGGCAGGCCCAGCGTCCACATGTCCATCTGTCTGTTTACCGATTTCCCTGTGACTATGGGTCGACGCGCCCTGCTCTGGCCACGGCAGGTGCAGGGTTAAGGCGGGGGGGAGAGTTTCCCGAGTCGGGAGGGGGGACGAGGGGCGGACCCGGTCCAGCCCCGCCCCGCGCCGAGCCAAGCCGGAGCCCCGCCGGAGCCCCGTCGGAGCCTGGCCTCAGCCCCAGCCAGAGCCGGCACGGAGCCGGAACGGCAGACCCCGCGCCCCGGCGGCGCCGGAGCCCCGGCCGGTGAGTCCCGCAGGAGCCGCGCTCAGGGGAAGTTTGGGGCGCGCTCGCTTGGACCCGCCCCCCGCCTCCCGCGAGCTGGAAGTTTGGGGCCAGGAGGCCATCACGCCAAGGGTCCCAGGAGCGTGGCCCCCGCGGGAAAGGAGAGGCTGAGGAGCTTGGGGATCTGCTCTGAGGGGACTCGGAGGTACAGCTGCTCATTCCTACTGGAAACGCCCTGGACTGTGGGAGTCTAGAGTCCTAATGCTCATGGGATCCCAAAATCATCCCCCTCCCTACTCCTGGACACCAAGGAGCCTGGCCTCTAGGAACCTGGCATGGGCAAACCCCTAAGAGTAGACCTGAAGGGAGAATGTGGGACCCTGGCGTCCAGCTCCTCCCCTCCCAGTCCCAAACGCCCTGATCTTGGCCTTTTGCTGGTGGGAATGGATGATCTCTATGGAATGGCCCCCAAAAGGGTTGTAAGTATACCCTGGAGTCGGATCCCTGGCTGTCCAGGACACACTCGAAGGCAATAAGGGGAGGGTACAGTAGGACTCTATTCATGCAGAGCCTCAGAATGAGGCTTGTCAAGAGGAAGAGAAGCGGGCCAGGGTGAAGTGTCCTATCCTAGTCAACTTACCTCTCACCTCAATGGAGATTTGAAGCGGGGGAGGATGTTGGGTGTTCTTAGGTGAGGGCAGGGGGTGGGGAGAGAATCCCTCATGCCCTATAGGAAGGGGGTAATTAGCCTGAGTATCTGGGAATCTGCCCTCTTTCCCACCCAGGAGGGCCTCGCCTCTACAGTGGTGTGCTAGCCAGCAGGGGCAGGTCCTCCCTGTGCCTTTCCCGCCAGGGATTTTGGGCCAGTCCTGCCCTCAGCTACAGACCGCTCAACTGTACCCTCAGGGACCAGTCAGTGGCCCTGAACCTTTGTTTTCCCTCTCTCCTCCAGGTGAAGGCAAGGTCCCTGAACTGCTCAGACACTCCCTGTGGCCCTGAGTCAAGATGAGGCCCCATCATGCCCCTCAGTGAGACCTGCAGCCTAAGCAGATAGTATGGCCTGCCTCTGGAGGTGAACACCATGGCTACAGGCAGTGGCCGGGCCTTTGCTTGGCAGGTGTTCCCACCCATGCCCACCTGCCGGGTGTACGGCACAGTGGCATACCAGGATGGGCACCTGCTCGTGTTGGGGGGCTGTGGCCGGGCTGGACTGCCCCTGGACACTGCCGAGACACTGGACATGGCCTCGCATACATGGCTTGCACTGGCACCCCTGCCCACTGCCCGGGCTGGGGCTGCTGCTGTGGTGCTGGGCAAGCAGGTGCTAGTGGTGGGCGGTGTGGATGAGGGCCAGAGCCCTGTAGCTGCCGTGGAGGCCTTCCTGGCTGATGAGGGCCGCTGGGAGCGTCGGGCCACCCTCCCTCAGGCAGCCATGGGGGTTGCAACTGTGGAGAGAGGTGAGTGGCCTTAAGGGAGTCCCTCAGGCGCCCCAACGCCCTCTATTCTTTTCTGACTTGGTCCCTTACCCTCAGAGATTGGACAAGAGCTGTAAATTTTGTCTGAGTGCCCTGGAGAGAGCTTTGACTCTTGTAAAGACCCTCTCCTACCTAGGTCTGAGCTGAGCTAGCAGCAGCCTTCACTGCCCTTTCCCGCTGTGAAGTGGGAGGCAGAGCCCAGGCTGGCCCCCAGTATGATGGGAGGCCCCAACCACCTCCCTGCCCATTCCTCTTCTCTAAGAGACTAGAAGGGGTAGTGCAATGACTTTCAGGGTTATAAATAGTCTAGGGGAGGGGGAGGGGAGCAGGGCCTTGGCTCAGAGCCCAGTAAGTGCTTAGATTCCCTCCCCCCCTCTTCTTCCCATATACCCGTTTACCAGGGAGCCAGAGATGGGAAGGCCAAGCTGGCCTGGGGATAGTTGCCATGGAAGCCCTCAGCTGACTAACCCATCTCCCCAAGGCCTCCAGATATGCCCCCAGCCGACCCGGAGGGTGTAACAGGGCCAGAACCTCCTCTAATGAAAGGGTGGGATACAGGGGGGCTGGTAGGGCTTCTGGGCAGAAGGCTTGTGGCCAGCACCTCCACCCTACAGGCCTAAGCCGCTCTCCTAGCACCCAGCTGATCCCCAGAGATCCCTCCCCAGTCTGAGTTCTATGCTTAGCAGATCCCCATATGCCCCTCCCTGGCTGAAACCATCCTCCACCCTCCTTCCCCTAGAGGAGCCTCCACCTTGTGGCCTCCAGGTCTGACCACGGTCCTGCTTAGATGCCAGACTTGGTTGCCATAGCATCTCCAGGGAGACAGAGATGGATTATAATTAGATCATCTGCCTCCTGCTCTTCACTTGGAGGGACCCTGGCCAGAGCAGGAATCCTAAAGGAGAGTTTCTCTGCTGCTTGGGAGGGGTACTACAAACATGTGGGTCCCCAGCCACCCCCAGGCCTGACCAGGGCAGCTGTCAGGGTAAGGTGCCCTGGCCAGGCTGAGGTGCACTCTGAATCACTCTTTTCTATGCAGATGGTATGGTGTATGCTCTGGGGGGAATGGGCCCAGACACGGCTCCCCAGGCCCAAGTTCGGGTATATGAGCCCCGGCGGGACTGCTGGCTTTCGCTACCCTCCATGCCCACACCCTGCTACGGGGCTTCTACCTTCCTGCACGGGAACAAGATCTATGTCCTGGGTAAGGGCCTGGGGGATGTGGGAGAGGGGCTTGAAGTGCAGAAGCAACCTATCCCCATAGGTTGGCTGGGATCAGGTTTAGCCTGAGATGGCAGGACAAGAGAAGCTTTGAGTGAGCCAGGCTTGCTTGGAGGTTCTGACCTTTGGTGGCCCTCCTGGGCCAGAAAACCAAACCCCAGTGCCTGAGGATCTGCAGGGTAGGATCCATGCTCAGGTGTGCACACAGCTGGGTATGGGGGGGCTAGGGTGGGCAGTGGTGAAGGCTTAGCAACCTGGTGGAGGAGGAGCCTAGTAGGCCTCCCAGGCTCCTTCCCAGGTGTCCCAATTTCATTGGCAGGGGGCCGCCAGGGAAAGCTCCCAGTGACTGCTTTTGAGGCCTTTGATCTGGAGGCCTGTACCTGGACCCGGCACCCAAGCCTGCCCAGCCGCCGGGCCTTTGCTGGCTGTGCCATGGCGGAAGGCAACGTCTTTAGCCTGGGTGGCCTGCAGCAGCCCGGGCCCCACAATTTCTACTCCCGCCCACACTTTGTCAACACTGTGGAGATGTTCGACCTGGAACATGGTGAGCAGTGGCTACCTGGGCTGTTCTCCCACTTTCCATGGGATGGAGGGGCACAGTGTATGTTGTGGGGCTGGATCTGACCTCCCCTTTCCTGCAGGGTCCTGGACCAAGCTGCCCCGCAGCCTGCGCATGAGGGATAAGAGGGCCGACTTTGTGGTTGGCTCCCTTGGGGGCCACATCATGGCCATTGGGGGCCTTGGTGAGTATCTGTGGGGCTAGGGATAGGTGGTGAGCCCAAGACAGGAAGGAGGAACCCCAAGCATGAGCACTATCTCCTGCCCTTCTTCACACACTCCAGGGATCAGGGCTTTGTGAGCTTCCCTTTCCCAGTCTGTGAAACAGACAGCGTGTAGTCTGCATAGCCTAACTCTTGGGGTGTCCCTCAGCACCTGACTGATGGCTCTGTACCAGCAGCAGCCTAGGAGACAGAAACAGGACAAGTGACCGCTGAATGAATGGACAAGTAGAAATCTAAAGAAATGAACGAATGATGAATGGGGGCTATGAGTAGCAAGGCACTGGTAGCCCATCCTGGGGTGATGCCTGCTGGGCCATCTCTGGGCTCAGCAAGCAAAAGAGCAGGGGCCCTTGTAGCTGGTGCCCTTTACAACTTCTGTCTCCTTCCTGCAGGCAACCAGCCTTGCCCTCTGGGCTCTGTGGAGGGCTTCAGCCTTGCACGGCGGCGCTGGGAGGCCCTGCCCACCATGCCCACAGCCCGCTGCTCCTGTTCTAGTCTGCAGGCGGGGCCCTGGCTGTTTGTCATTGGGGGTGTGGCCCAGGGTCCCAGCCAAGCTGTGGAGGCGCTGTGTCTGCGTGATGGGGTCTGAATGCCTGATGGGATGTGTCAGCTGGGGCAGCGCATGCCAGAGGCACAGGTCTGTGGCTCCTTTTGCTGCTGAAGAAGCTCACTGTGGCTCTGTGGGATGAGGGAGGCACAGGGTCAGATACTTGAGACAAATGTCTCAAAGGGTGAGGGGACTTTGTCTCTAGTGCAGGACACATATGCTTATACCCACCTTTATCCCCATTCATTCTTGGACCATGCCTAGCTCCACACTTGCTCTGGAACTACTGGGCCCTCTGTCCAACTGGGAAGTGGGAGGGTGGGAGAGCTGGCCTCATGCCCCACAGGATTAGTGCCTACCTGGAGTTGACCAGGCTCACCCTAATAGCTGTTCCTGAAAAATCCTAGCTGTCAGCCACCTTGAAGGCCTCTGTGGCCCCAGGAGAATTCAGACAGGTCAGAGGACACAGAGGGAGTGGAGGAGTGGATGTAGGAACCTCCAGAGAACCAGAGGAATATTGGCTTTGGGCCCTTTACACTGTTGACTGTGTGATCTTGAGCAAGTCATTTCACCTCTCTGTGCCTCAGCATCCTCATCTGTACATGGGGACCTCTGGAACCTTCCTGCCCTACCTACCTCACAGGGCTGTTGTGAGGACCCAGGAAGTTCAGATGTGAAAGTAAAAGTGCTGCTAAAATCCGGTGTATGGCCCTCGGTGTGGACTCCTGTGTTGCCCCTGCAGCCCCTTGCCCTCCTTCAGGGGCCTTGATTCTCCCAGGGAGGAGGGGCCAGAGTAGCCTTTTGGATCTGGCTTCTGCCCCCAAAGTGTTCTGGTGTCTTAGCCCCACCTAAGCCTTAGTTTCTCTTTTGGTGACGTAGGATGACTGCTGCCCTCCACTGTCCTGGGTGTTAGAGGGCACTCACAGGACGGCCAGAGAAGAGCTCAGAAAACCATAGCAAAGCACCACAGGGTCAGGATGACCTCCAGGTCCACAATGCGCAGGATCTCCTCAAAGTCTCTGCTCACCTCCATAGGGAGGGGTGGTCCAGTGGGGGCTGTGGCCAGGGCAGGCTCCCCCTTTCCCAGCTTAGGCAGAACTATATGGCTTCCCACCAGACCCCTAGAGACATAGTAGCTTCCCAGAGAAATCAAAGCTGCCAGCCCTTGCCTCCTCCTCCAGTCTTTGCTGCTCAAGAGGAGGGTGCACGGACCCCGCTTTCCCTGTAGCCACATGAATGCAAGGGGCTCACAGCTGGGTTTACTGCAAGAATGGATTTGGGGTCCCAGAACTGATCTGCTGTAACCATGGTGACCCTCCTGGACCCTTAGCCTCCTGCAGGGTTCTTGCTCAGTGGCAGGGTTCCCAGGGCAGCACCTCCCCTGCCCAGCACACAGGTGCCATGGGCTTACTGCTCTCCAGCTTCTAAGAACCCTTGGGCTGCAAACACAGACAGGCTGCTGTGTCAGCTGTCCTTGTTTAATGCTCTGGACCAATTTAGACACTCCGAGACCCCATCATGAAGGTAATGCCGCAGCAGCTTGGGTCTTGGGATCCCTGGGAGGTCAGGCAGTGTGTTGGTGACTGGTCCCATGTTGTTGCTGCCACAGTGGCCACCCCGGGATGGCTGGCAGAAGTTCTGCCGGTAGGTGGTGCTGGTATGGGGAGGCTCGATCTGCACAAAGTGGATAAGGCGCTGGGGGAGGTCACTGAGTCCTGGGCCTGACCGGAAATTGGCCTGGTAGGAGGATTCAAGGGGCCGCTGCTCGCCCAACTCCAGCTCATGGGGTGCCCAGCGCAGGAAGGTGTGCCGCTGCCATAGGCGCTCCAGGTCTTTCCGCCTTCCGATTCCCTGCAGCAGGCAGTAGGGGCCCTCCTCAGTGGTGTGGGTCCTTGGCCCACAGTCCTGGCACCAAGCACCCCTCGGCCCCTCCTCAACCCAAGCCTACTTGGTGATACCTGGCTCCCCTGGCCTGTATCCCAGCCTCTTTGGCCTGCTTCCCTAGCCATGCCTTCCATTCCAGGATGAAACCTCCAGAAAGTCAGTGGCCCCTAGGATATTTGTGCATTGCCAGGCAAGCTAGTGGATGAAACCAAAGCAGAGGTACCTTTGTTTGGGGAATGGGCTGTTTCCCAGACAAGAGAGGTTGTCAGGAGCCCTCCCTCCCCTCAGTGTCTTATGCCCTCCACCCTACCTCAACTTCAACCTGGGCTGGGGCCCTGCCCGTTCTCCTTCCTTTGTTCAGTACTCACTTTGTCGAAAGAAGTACGGTTGTCATGCTTGGAGAACAAGTGTTGCTGCACTGGTTCCTTTAAAGACAGTGAGAAAGAAGGTGAATGGGGAAAAATGATGCTCACCTGCCCTTAAGATGTTACCTCAGGACCCATAATGGAGGGAGCTGCCAGGAGCCACTACCCCTAAGCTGCTAAACTTCCCACAATCCTGAAAGGGCAGTTAGAAATTAAAGCTATGCTTCACTCCTAGGACATCTCATGCTGGTATTTGCCTCCAAAGCCGAAGTCTCTAGGACTGCTGATTGAGGAAGGGGCTGAGGCATCTTCTAAGGCATCCTGCCATCAGAAGGGCAGTGGTTCAAGTTTCATATCAGGCCCTTTAACTCTTAGATTGCCCAGGACCAGACTTTAATTCTCTCCTCCCCTCTGTCCACACTTAATCTTTCATCAGTAACCCAAGTTCTTGGCCCTAAGTACCACCTGGAAACTGCCATTTCTCTTTCTAGCTTGAGCTCTCTCCTGAACTCCAGACTCAATAGCCAACAGGCTATTCCATATCCCCATGTAAATGTCTTACAGGCATCTCCAAACACATGACTGAGCTCTGGATCATTTGCCAACCCCACCCCTCCGCAGCCTTCCCCAGGTCAGGTCATGGTAGCTAGATCCTACCAAACACCTTGGAGTCCCCTTGATACTCTTCTTTCACACCCTATATCCAAAGTGTCAGGAAATCCTGTTGATTATTCCTTCAATATGTACCCAAGATTGAACCATTCCTCAGTATGTCCACTGCTTTCCCTGATCCAAGAGGCACCTTCTTCTCTTGCTTGAATAATTGCAAGAGCTTCCTACCTGGTGTCCCTGCTTCAAAGCTTTCCCTTCCAGTTTATTGTCCTCTTAGCAGGCAGAATAATTCTTCTGATATGTAGATCAGATCATCACCCTTGTTTGCTGAAAATCCACAACAGTTCCTCATGTTTGTAAAAGCCAAAATCATCATAGTGGTCCATGAGACCCACACAATATTGATCTCTCCATTACCTGCAACCTCACTGGCATCCTTACTGCTCGTGAAACACACCAGCTATTTCCACTTTGGGCCTTTGTACCACCTGTGCCTTCTGTCTGGGACTCTTCCTGTAGCTGGCCGTAGGACTCCCTCTCACCTCCCTCTTGGGAGGACTTCTTCAAGCACTAAGACCAGCCGTGCGTCACCCCAACTCTGCATCTTCCACTTTCTGGCATACTAGGTGACTGTGTAGTATGATGTTGCCTAATGTTTCTGATAAGAATATAAGCTCCTTGTGGGCAAATATTATTGTCTGTCTTGCTCCTTCTGTAACTCCAACACTGAGCCCGGTGCCTGGGCAAATACATGTTTGCTGTTTAATCAATGAACAAGGTTTAGAAAACCCCCAGGGCATTTGCTTTGGCCCAGTTGGAGCCAGAGAACCATGCCCTATCCCTGGGCAGAGAAAGACCACCCCCAGGTCCCCAGACCTCAATAGGAATCTCTCCTAAGACCATCCACCTTGCCTTTGTGCCTGGTCTCTGGGCCTAGAGTTCCCTGTCCCCAGCCATTCAGCTTCTCCTGCTGCAGACCTGAATGAAGTGTCTGATCTGATGAGTTCAGCTTGGCTGGGTTGGGGTATGAGCAATGGCTGACAGCAGGTTCCTAGATAAGAGACTGGAGCTAGCTCCATCCCAGATCCCTGAACCAGAATCTTCTGTGGTATGTGTCTTTAACAAACTCCCTTATCAGGACCTCCTGCCCTAGACAGCTGGTGTTGGTTTCCAGTAGAATGAAAGCTCCATGAAGGTGGGAAGCCAGGCAGCCTTACCTTTCATTCCTCATAAAGCAAACTGACACGACAGGGATTAAAAACCCAAGGCCCTTTTAGAAAAAAAAACAGGAAAAAATCTTCAGTATTTAGAACTGGGCAAAGAGTTCTTTGACTTGATACCAAAAGCAAGAGCAATAAAGGAAAAATTGATAAGTTGGACGTCATCAAAAAATTTTTAAAGTTTTGCTTTGTGAAAATTTGTGTAAAGAAGATGAAAAGACAAGCTACAGACTGGGAGAAAATATTTGTAAACCAAATATCCAATAAAGGAATAATACCTAGAATATATAAAGAATTCTCACAACTCAACAGTAAAATAACAATCCAATTAGAAAATGGGCAAATGTCAGATGTCTATCGACAGATGAATGGATAAAAAAAATGTGGTGTGTGTGTATATATATATATATATATGTATATATATATATATACACATATACACACACACACACACACACAATGGAATATCACACAACCATCAGAAAATGAAATCTTGCCATTTGCAATGGTGTGGATGGAACTAGAGGGTATTATGCTAAGTAAAATAAGTCAATCAGAGAAAGACAGTTATATGATCTCACTGATATGTAGAATTTAAGAAACAAGGGAAAGGATCATAGAGGAAGAGAAGAAAAAAATGAAACAAGACAAAACCAGAGAGGGAGACAAATCATAAGAGACTCTTAATCTTAGGAAACAAACTGAGGGTTGCTGGAGGGGACGGGGGTGGGAGGATGGGGTAAGTGGGTGATGGACACTGGGGAGGGCATGTGTTGTAATGAGCACTGGGTATTATATAAGACTGATGGATCACAGACCTGTACCATTGAAACAAATAATACATTATATGTTAAGTAATTGAATTTAAATTTAAAAAAAAGAAAATGGGCAAACAACATAAAGGCATTTCACTGAAGAGGATATACAGATGGCAAATAACACATGAAAAAATGTTCACCATCATTAAACGTTAGTGAAATACAAATTAAAATCACAATGAGATATCATGACGTATTTATCAGAATGGCTAAAATAAAACAGAGACAATACCAAATGTTGCTGAGAATGCAGAGAAACTGGATCATTCATATATCGCTGGTGGGACTGTAAAATTGTACAGTCACTCTAGAAAACTTGGCAGTTTCTTTTAAAAACTAAACATACAACCACCATATAATCCAGCAATTGCACTCCTAGGCATTTAATCCAAAGAAATGAAAACTTATGTTCACCCAAAAACCTGTACCAGCTTTATTTGTAAGAACCAAAAACTGGAATCAGCCCAGATATTTTTAAAAGGTGAATGGTTACAAACTGTTTATACATGCCATAGAATACTACTCAGTAATGAAGAGGAATGAACCATGAACAACTTGGATGAATCTCTGGGAAATTATGCTGAGCAAGAAAAACCAATCTCCAAATATTGTGTGCCATATCATTCCATTTATATAACATTACTGAAATGACAACATTTTAGAAAGGGAGAAGAGGCTGGTGGTTGCCAGGGATTAGGGACAGAAGAAGGGTGGAGGAACAGGAGGCTGGTGGGTGTGATTATAAAAGGGCACTACTAGGGATACTTGCCATGTTGGCCAGTATCTTAACTAAATAGGTGACAAAATTTTATAGGTCTTAATATACACAAATGAGTATAAGTAAAATAAGAAATCTGAGATAGGTGGGTTGCATTAATGTCAATGTCCTGGTTGCAGTATTATACTATAGTTTTACAAAATGTTATCATTGATAACATTGGGGAAAACTGGGAAAAGTATAGAAGGGATCTCTATTATTTCTCACAATAGGTTATGAATTTACAGTTATTTCAATAAGAATTTCAATTAAAAAAACCCTGGGAGTATGCAGCTAGTTCCAACTGACCCCCAAATTTCTTCTTCATCTCTATCCTTGGCTGAAGAATTGTACACAGCCTTAGAATGTGGATGCCTCTGTTTTTGGAGGCAGCTCTGACTCTGAAAACTCACTATGTATGTATTTTTGCCTTTTGATTTTTTTATTACTCCAAAAAGCTTCATTAAGAAAAATTTAGCTTTCTGACTCTGTGCTTGTGTCTTCAACACCTTCACAGTGTTTTTCTGCTCCTCAGTAAGGAAAGCACACTTGATCCGGTCATAGACACACTTAGCATATAGGGAACCACTACAGGCCCTGCTGACGTGTTGTTTGCTTGTTTGTTCTAGACAACCTCATAAGAACTTTAGGTCTTACAACACAAACTTCTTGAAGTCAGCCTGGTCACATGCCCTTTGTAGATTGTGGTGCTTTCCCAACTTTGTTGGTATAAAGGTACACAATTCTATTACCAAGGGTTCCAGGACAGCCTAGTTTTGTTAGAGGCTGTATTGCAGGACAGCCTATGATGGTATGTCAGATTCCAGATCATTCTGAATGCCTGTAGACACCATCCCCGGAAGAGTGAAACTCACTATTCTAACAGTGGCAGGACGATCTATTGACTTCCATTGACTCAAGTTTTGTTCTCACAATAGTGGGAGCCTGGTAAGAAGTGCAGTCATTTCCTTCCACCCAGGCAGTTCTGAGTATTCTTATCCCTGGAGAGGATTTCACCTGCATCTTTGTTTCTAGGGATCCTTTTCCATTGAGGTAGTAAAACCCATGGTCTCTGAGCAGGTGGGCTTGGGCTGGAGTTCCAGCTGAAGAAACATTGGAGGAAAGGTAGATTTCCTGGGAGGGGGCAGTAGTTGCATGTGGGAGGGCTAAGGGCCCTTGTGGAGGCTGGGCATTCTGCAGTCAGTAGGATGCGAAGTAAGGAGCCCCTGTGACAGACTGAGTCATGGCAGGGGTGGGACAGGGAGGAATACAACAATCATGGCACCACCAAGGAAGGACCTACTCCAAACCATGAGTCCCTGGGACTCTTGTCTGACCTTGAGAACAAACAGGACCAGTATTACATGTCCCAAGAGTCAGGCAGGTGAAGGCTAGAAATAAGTTAATCTGGTGTAGAAGAGAAAAAGAAAAAGAAGAAAAGAGAATTTTCTTGCGTCTGAATGACACAGACAAAATTCTACCTGCCCCAAACTAAAGAAAAGTGGTGTCACATCTTGAAAAGTTTTTCAACAATAATAGCTGCAAGCAGTTGGTTGAAACCTGGTATCTCTTAGCTAATAGGAAAATAAAATGTGCACCTTCCCCAAACAGTCCCACTAATTAAAAGAGCTTTAGACATAGAATGAGCCACCAGACTTGGCATTTATACAATCTGAGCCCAAGACACAGAGATCATGCTGTTTGGGGCTGCTGGTATTGCTAGTAAATGCTTTGTGTAGCAAGTCTTCAATTAAAACATGTCCCAAAACATCTTCCCTACTTCTGTTTCTGGGGAACAGATTGAGAGGATGTTCCAGTCTTTAGGATGACAGCTGCCACTGGGCTCCTACAAACATCCAGCAGAAAGTCCCCAGTTTGCCTCTGTCCCTGCACTACCCAGGTCCCATTATTCTCAAGGGGGAGGTGGCTCCAGATAAGCAGTCTAGAGCTGCATTTGGGCCTGGCTCTCTCAGTAGGCAGTGCCAGGCAGCCCTTCTAACTCAGAATGCTAAGGAAATTCAGGCTCCATAGCATGGCAGCCTCCAAGACCCTGTTCTTGGCCTGGGAAAGCAAATCATGGAGAATTCAGATGGCAGATCAAGTAGGATCTGGCTAGAGGCTTGGAAGCAGGAAGTTGCAGTGGGCAGAGCATGTTCTGGACACTCCTCCAGGTCCCTTTCCATATTCTCCACCCTGCTGTTGCCCAGGGGGCTGATCTGAGTGCATTTCTCACCAGCCTGCTTTCCTTCTGGCCACTGAAAAGCCCTGGGAAGAGATGGAGGGAAGGAAGGAGAGGTCTCTTCTCTTAACTCCCTCCCAGATGAGCCCCCACCTGTCTGTGTCTCTCCCTCAAGATCACCACTCCTCTCGGCGCCTGGGTGGCTCAGTCATTAAGCATCTGCCTTCGGCTCAGGTCATGATCCCGGGGTCCTGGGATCGAGTCCCACATCGGGCTCCCTGCTCGGCGGGAAGCCTGCTTCTCCCTCTCCCACTCCCACTCCCCCTGCTTGTGTTCCTGCTCTCGCTGTGTCTGTCAAATAAATTTTAAAAATCTTAAAAAAAAAAAAAAAAGAACTACCCTCTCAGGATAGTTCTCTCCACACCACCCTCCCCTCCTGGGTTCTACGAGCCATACTTTCCCCTGTCCCTTTGGGCCCAATGGTACTGACCACTTGGTTGTTGCCAACCTGTGATACCACCTTTACTTGAGGACCTCACATCTACTCCTTTGCATGTACACTCTGTTGAGTTCTCCTACTTTGAGTGAGTTTTTTACTGTTGGGACCCCAGCTGACGATCAGTGCCCCTCCTTGTTGCCAGGCCTAGAAGCAGTAGAGGGTCTGGGCCCTGGGCGCTCTCTCTCCTGTTCTCTGGAAGTCTTTTCCAGACACTTCTGCCATCACCCCCTTCTAGTCCTCCTTGGCTATGCATGTGAGTGGGTACCCAGCCACTTTATATGCTGCTTCCCTCACCAGAGGAGGCCTCCTGGGCCCCTGAACTACAAGGCTGACTGTAGATCAGACCATGGGCTTTCATGACATCAAGGAATTTGAGCTTGAAAGCAGTTGTTGGCAAAACTCAAGGCTTACTTTCTGGGTTCTGGAGGGTCTCTCCCCATGACCACCTACTCAAACTGGGCCCTGACCCTCCCCCCACCTAGAAGGAACATTGAGCAAGACTGTCCAGCTTGTACTAGCTCTTCTCCACCCTTTCTATAGGTGGAGATAAGGAAATATGCTATTTCAGGGAAGAGTGGCCAGGCCTCATGCATTTTCTGGGGATAAGCTGGCCTCAGGTCTCAGTCCAGCAGTGGTAGTTCTCGGGATGATGCTTTTGGGGTCTGAGAGAAACAGAAACTGGCCCAGCCACCCCAGCTGCCCCCAGGGCTGCCTTGTACCTGACATCGCTGCAGGAACACTGCTGGAGGCTGGGGCTTGGCTGCAAGGCGGTATTCTTGAGCACTTTCACTCTTGAATTGGCCTCTGTAGTGCCCATAGAAGCCAGTGTTGTGCTATAATAAGGCAGGCATGAGGGTGAATCTCTCCCAAACACTTATCCTGAGTCTCAGACCTCAGGGTCCCCAGACCAGAAGCCTCTCCTGGGAGCTACTGACAGAATAAAAAGAATCTGAGGAGAGGGACACCCATCTGCCATCCATCATTAGAACAGTTGGCCTCAGGATGCCTGGGTGGCTCAGTCAGTTTAGCATCTGCCTTTGACTCAGGTCATGATCCCAGGGTCCTGGGATCGAGTCCTGCATCGGGCTCCTTACTCAGCGGGGAGACTGCTTCTCCTTCTGCCTGCCGCTCCCCCTGCCGCTCCCCCTGCTCTCTCTCTGACAAAAAAAATCTTAAAAAAAAAAAAAAAAAAAAGAACAGTTGGCCTCAGCTGTGCTGGTCCACCTGGGAGGGCTATGTGTGTGTAGGGAAAGGGCACCTTCTTTTTTCCCTTTCCCTTTTTTCCTTTCTTCCATCCTTCCCCTCTTTCTTTCATAAGATCCTAGTATAAGCCAGGGAGGCAACGGTGAAAGGACAGAAATATCCTGGTCCTTGCAAACTTTCCTTCTGGTGAGGGAGTCAGACACAGCAAATAGGGTCAGGGAGGAAATAACCTCTGATGACTAGATCCAGAGTGACAGGGAACAGGGATAGCCCCTCATGACAATGAAGGTGGGACCTGAACATGAGGAGTCAGCTGTGTGAGGAACAGGAGAAGAGCATTCTATGTGATGGGAACTGAAAAAGCAAAGGTTCCAAGGCCAGAAAGAAATGTGCTGCAAGGACAAAATAGAACAAAAATCCTTATGACTAAAGGATTTTGAGCAAACTAGTCAGGTAAGGGCAGGGAAGGGCAGGGCTCACACTAGTTTAAGAATATGGATTCTCGGGGCGCCTGGGTGTCTCAGTTGGTTAAGTGTCTGCCTTAGGCTCAGGTCATGATCCCAGGGTCCTGGGATCAAGCCCCACATCAGGCTCCCTGCTCAATGGGAAACCTGCTTCTCCTTCTTCCTCTGCCTTCCACTTCCCCGGCTTGTACTCTCCTTGTCAAATAAATAAATAAATAAATAAAATCTTTAAAAAAAAGAATATGGATTCTCTTCAAAGAGCAAAGGGAGACTTTTCAGCAGAGGAGGGGACCAGACAGTTTTTGAGTTGGGGCAGTTCAGAGCACTGAGCCGAGTTTTGAGAACAGGGCCACTGGTGATATGATCCTTCCCTGGGGATTGAATGGGTCCATCTTGGCATCTATTGATAAAGTCATGAGCACCTATTTGCCACAAACCCTGCTATTCTGGAGCAAGAAGGGCACCCTCTGAAACTGGAGCACCTAAGCAAGGGATAAGCTTTTCAGAAGAAGTACTTTACCAACAGTGATATCTTCTGGAGAGAATTTCAGAGACAGGGACTGGCAGAAGACATAAATGAGCATTTATCAGAGGTCTAAGAAGGAGCTATTCTGTGTTGATATCATTAGGTAGATGCCCTGTGACAACAACCATGTCTAGCCAGGGAACTCCTAGAGCCCAACTCTTTGTCCTGAGAGCTCCCTGGAAAGGATGGGTATGTCTGGTCCTCCATGATCATAGCCTTGAGCAGAAACAAGCTGACCGAAGTTTGGCCTCTGGCCATCACAGCAGGTTCCTATACATGACCAAAAAGCCCTTTATCTTTTCATCCCACTGAGGGTTTGGGTTGCCCAACTTGTCTGTCCATCTTTCTATTATCTGTTGAACTTGCTCTCTATTCAGTTTAGTTCAATATTTATTGGGCCACCTTTACGCATCCCAGGCATGGGACTGGGCATGGGATATACAGTGGAAAACAATCTTTGCCATCAAGATGTTCGCAGTATAGAAAGCAGTCAAACTCCAGAAGTCTGGGAGTACCAAGCAAAGAACTGGGAATAAATGGGGTGGCTAGAAGATTAGGAGGTTCCGCTGGTTAGCATGAGACCAGGACATATGGGAAAGGACATGGCATCAGAAAGACTAGGTAGGTTCCAGGGGTAACCTTAGAATGGCAGGGAAGTTCAGGGTCCTCCACCAGCCTGGATGCTGGATGAAATCCTTCTTGCTAAATTTACTTTCATGATTCATTCAAATTTCAGGTACTACCCCAGGGCCAGGAGCCAAGATTAATTGTAAAGTGCACTCTTACCCAGGAGCCTACTAAAGCACTTTGCATCTTTCCAGGAAGAAGTAGAAAAGGCAAACTTTCCTTTTGTCTTTTTGAGGCTATGTCTGAGGAAAGAGAATCTCAGCTTCTTGTTGCTTAGTGACAAAGGGAGGTTGTGACTGCACAATGCTGCTGAGATTGTTGAGACAGTGCCCAGCCGGCTACCCCTTTGTGCTTCCTGCTTGTTTTTACTTCTTTATGAGAGAAATCTGCCCCTCAGCATTAACAGCCTAGATAGAGTCCTTACATATAGAAATAGCCTAGATAGAGTCCATGCATAGAGAAACATATACTCCACAGTAGAGTGTGATGAACTCATAGTCAATGAAATATCAAAGAACATTTTAAAGGTGAATCCTGCATTTTAATATTGTGTAACCATATTGCCAGGAACATAAATTTAGAAAACATTCCACAGAGTCAGAAGAAATGTTAAAAGGCTGATGGTTCTTAGGATAAAATTGCTGCTTCAGAATAAGGTTCTGCCAACTTTTCTTTTAGGAGTCTGTGGCACCTGAGAACACTGGGCAGGTGACTGTTACCGGGCCCCAGTAAAGAAAGAGAGCATAACAGAGGAGCAAAAGAAGGAGCGTGAAAATATTTGACATTGTGGTTCCATTCCAAGCTACCTTTCTGTAGATTATTGTCTTTCTCTCTCATTTGTAACACAGGGACATGAACAGTTCACCCCTTTCTCTAACCAAAAGGGCTGGCAATCAGCCTCTAAAAATAGGGTTTTTTAAGTTTAACAGCAGAAAACATTCAGACCCTGCTGGTGTCACTGATATAACCCTACTAGCCAGAAAATCCACCCTACTATAGTTAACCCTGAAGACCCACTCTCACATGTATTCACAGGTACAAAAAGTTTCATTGCAGCATCTGCGTAGGGGAAAAACTGTAAACAGCTGAATGTTTTACCAATAGGGCAATAAGAAAGATACTTTAATCTACAAATATATATCTTAAAAATGGGGAGTCAAAAGTCAAATTGTAGAAAAATGCACAAAGTATACCATTTATAAAATGATATAATCATGCAAAACAGTGCTATATATTATTTATGGATGCAAACATATGAACTAAAAGTATAAAACATACATGGAAATGATAAGCATCAAGTTCAGGATAGAAGTCACCTGGGGAATGTATCAGGGAAGGCAGAGTGGAGCCTCAACTCTGTTTTTATTTTTCAAAGCTTTATTTAGGTATAACTAACACAATAAACTACACATATTAAGTGTACAATTTGACACATTTTGACCTATGTATACATGTATGAAACATAGCCACAATCAAGGTAGTAAACATATCCATCACCCCCAAGTTTCCTTCTGCCCATTGGTAATCCTCCTCTATGGCACTCATTGGTCTCAAGCAATCGCTGGTTGACTGTTGCCATAGATTACTTTGCATTTTCTAGAATTTTATATAAATAGAATCATTCAATATGTATTCTTTGTGTCTGACTTCTTCCATGCAGCATAATTATCTTGTGTTTTATCCATGTCATGGTGCCTATCAATCACTCATTCCTTTTTATGGCTTAGTAGTTTTCCATTGTATGGATATGCAAAACTCTCCATATATATACATATGTGTATATGTATATATTTTTAATAGAATTTTTAGAGCAACTTTAGGTTCACAGCAAACTTGAGTGGAAGGTACAGAGATTTCTCATATACCTCCTGCCCCACATGTGTATAACTTCTCCTATTACCAATATCCCCCAACAGAATAGCATATTTTTTATAATTGCTGAACCTAAAGTGACAGATCATTATCCCCCAAAGTCCATAGTTTACTTTAGAGTTCACTCTTGCAGTTGTATATTCTATGGGTTTGGACAAATGTATACTGCAATTACATGTATGTGCCATTAAACTATCATACAGAACAGTTTCACTGCCTTAAAAATCCTCTGGCTCCACCTATACATCCCTCCCTCCCCCAATCCATGGCAACCACTGATCTTTTTACTATTTCCATAATTTTGCCTTTTCCACAATGTCATATTGGAATCCTACAGTATATAGCCTTTGCAGATTGGCTCCTTTCACTTAGTAAAATATATTGAAGTTTCCTCTGTCTTTTCCTAGCTTGATAGCTCAGTTCTTTTTAGTGCTTAATATTTCATTGTCTGGATTACCACAGCTTATTTATTCATTCACTTACTGAAAATGACTTCTTGGTTGCTTTTAAGGTTTTGCAGTTATGAGATAAAGCTGCTATAAATATCCATGTGCAGGTTTTTGTGTGGACATAACTTTTCAAGTCCTTTGGGTAAATACCAAAGAGCATGACTGCTGGATCGTTTAATAAGAGTATATTTAGCAGGACACCTGGGTGGCTCAGTTGGTTAAGCATCTGCCTTCGGCTCAGGTCATGATCCCAGGGTCCTGGGATCGAGTCCTGCATCGGGCTCCTTACTCAGCAGGGGGCCTGCTTCTTCCTTTGTCTCCTGCTCCCCCTGGTTGTGCTTTCTCTCTCTCTCTGACAAATAAATTAATAAAATCTTAAAAAAAAAAAAGAGTATGTTTAGTTTTCTAAGAAACTGCCAAACCATCTTCCAAGGTGGCTGTACCATTTAGCATTCCGATGAATGAGAGTTTCTATTGCTCCACATCCTCATCTACATATGTGTTATCGGTGTTCTGGATTTTGGCCATTCTGATAGGTGTGTAGTGGTAGCTCATTGTTGTGTTGTTTGAATTTTCATTTCCCTAATAACTTATAATGTTGAGTGTCTTTTCATATGCTCATTTGCTACCTGTAGATATTTTTTGGTGCAGTGTATTAAACTCTGTGTTGGCTTATTTATTCATTTATAGAAATGTGGGGAGAGGGGCAGAGGGAGAGAGAATCTTAAACAGGTTCCATGTCCACTGTAGAGCTCAACACAGGGCTTGATCTTACAACCCTGAGAACATGAGCCAAGCCAAAATCAAGAGTAGGTCACTTAGCCAACTGAGCCACCCAGGCGCTCCTGGCCCATTTTTAAATCAGGTGGTATTCTTATTGTTGAGCTTTAAGGGTTCTTTATATATTTTGTTTCTTTATCAGATGTCTTGAATCCACACACTAATCAGCTTTTTGTCCCCACTACACCACTAGTCAAGATCACCAATAATTAATTCTCACTCTTCTTTTTCCTTGACTTATCAGCAGCATTTGACATTGATAAAGCCGGCAGTTAGTTAGACTTGAGCTGGAGGCAAAGGTTGTGATAAATAGGTGTCACATTAGAAGCCTGAGGGCACAACATCCTAACTTTGTGGCTTTTTTTTTAAAAAAAGATTTATTTATTTATTTATTTGAGAGAGAGAGAATGAGAGATAGAGAGCACGAGAGGAAAGAGGGTCAGAGGGAGAAGCAGACTCCCCGCTGAGCAGGGAGCCCAATGTGGGACTCGATCCCGGGACTCCAGGATCATGACCTGAGCCGAAGGCAGTCGCTTAACCAACTGAGCCACCCAGGCGCCCCTAACTTTGTGGCTTTTAACCTCGTGGTCTTACTGCTTCCAAAACCCAGGGGCTGACAGAGCAACAGCCTCAGATGCAGAACATGCACTCTCCTCTTCAACCTCTGCCCCAGGGTGACCCCCTAGGTTCATTATATTTACATTGTGGTTTTGAGCCCCCGTGGGACAAGATGGTCATGACAGTTGCAGCAAGAACCTTGTAGGGCCCAAAACTCCCCTCTCCTAACCAGGAGGAGGAGTCCCTTAGATGATTGGAAACAACCTCAGTCGGAGACCTCCTTACCGTGACCCATAAACTTTGCAAACATAAAAAGACACCCCTAACTCCGGTACAGTTCCCATCTCTGGGCCTGCCCACTCTCCCATCTTAAACTTAATAAACTGCTTTGTGCTTGCTACTTTCTTTCTGGCTGCCTTTATTCGAGTGGGGAGTCTCATGTAAGTCTTTTGTGGGGAATCCAAGAACTGAGACCTCCATTCACACCTCCATTCTCCCACCAGTAACAACATAGCTGGTCTCCTCCTCCTCTTTAAAGGGTGGTCCAGGAGGCTTCCACAGCACCTCACTCTCTTGGGTGTCCCTCCTCTGTCCCTGACCACACCTGCTTGGGGTACTTTGCTGCTTTTTCCTTATCTAGGCCTCTAAAGTTGTGTGTCCTGGGGCTCAATACAATCTGTTTTCTTTTCTTTAAAATTCTATTTATTTATTTGAGAGAAAGAGAGAATGAGAGAGAGCACGAGAGGGAAGAGGGTCAGAGCAAGAAGCAGACTCCCCGGTGAGCAGGGAGCCCGATGAGGGACTCGATCCCGGGACTCCAGGATCATGACCTGAGCCGAAGGCAGTCGCTTAACCAACTGAGCCACCCAGGCCCCCTACAATCTGTTTTCCATCCGTACTCTTTCATTGGTGATTTATTTCATGGCTTTAAAAGCCATCTATAACCATCAGAGGCAGAGTTACACAGACCCCTCCTCCCTACACCCTCTGCCCCTGCCCACCCTGCCCTCATTTTGCCTCAGTATCTAGCAGGCCAGGTTCCCTGGACTATTTCTTGCCTTTTTCTCCCCACCAGGCTGCCAGTTCTGTGTCCCCTTTTGACCACAGCGCCTCTCCTTCCAGCGGCTCTCCCTACCCAGCTCTTGTTAGGACCTCTTGGGCCCCAGCCACGCCCTAGCCCCTGGGCACCCGGGCCACTCCACATACAGCAGGGTGGGTCAGGTAACTCCTGAGCGGGTCTGCATTGGTGAGGGGATGCTGCGTGGGGTGTGGGCGGCAGCAGGGGCGTGACTGTGGAGGTGCGCGGGTACATCTTGCGAGGTACACGTGGGCGGTGCAGCCGTATGCGGTGAGAGGTAGGCCACCTGGCTTGGCCAATGAACCTGCTGGTAAAAAGGAAAAAAAAAAAAAAGCCACGAGGACGGTTAAAACCTTTAAAACCGTTAGAACCCTTAGAGCCGTTAGTCTTGAGCCGCAGAGGGGGCGGGCCCAGGGGCGGGGCTTAACCCTCATTGGCGAGATCGGGCCAGGGCGCGGGATCACGCATGCTCAGGCAACCTCTGCGGGACTG